CAGAAACAAACCAAGACTATACTTTCAGGGATCATTTCTTTAGTTGTTGATTTGAGGAATGTGTTTCTAAAGAGTTCAGTCTCGCTGTCCACGATGAAGAGTTCAGATGTTTCTCTCAGAACAGGAAACTGGTGGGAAGACTTTGTTTTTTCTCCACTGTTGAAGATTGTTCAGAGTTTCTGGAAGACTCTCTGATGGTGGAAACATGATCTGAGTGGACTGTGTATCTTGTTTAAAATTAACAATTTTGTGTCTGTCTTGTCTGCTACTAGTGCTAGTTCAACATACTTCTCTTATGCATATTGACCTACTTTAACAAAACAAACCAGCACGAGAAAGAGTGATTTCTCAATAAATGTCTGAAATTCACTGAGATTCTCCTCCGTCATTCAAAATAGCTTTTAAGTTTGACCCACCCTTAAAAAAAGGTAGTTTTGTGATATATATGTCTTTTTGTATTGGGGATCAAACTTATAAGAAATCATCAGAGTTTTGTTTCTGTTAATGTACCGAGGTCAAACCAAGACCATAAGTTGTCAGTGGTTGTAGAAGAAGTGACTTTGTGAAGCTCAGAATCTCAGTGAATTTCAGGGGTTTATTGAGAAGTCTCTTTTTCTTGTGCTGTTTATTTTTTTGTTAGAGTAGGTCAATATGCATAAGAGAAGTATGTAGAACTACCACTAGCAGCAGACAAGACAGACACAACATTGTTTATATTTAACAAGATACACAGTCCACTCAGATCATGTTTCTGCCATCAGAGAGTCTTCCAGAAACTCTGAACAATCTTCAACAGTGAAGAAGAAGGAAAGTCTTCCCACCAGTTTCCTGTTCTGAAAGAAACATCTGAACTCTTCATCATGGACAGCGAGACCGAACTCTTTAGAAACACATTCCTCAAGTCAACAACTAAAGAAATGATCCCTGAAAGTATAGTCTTGGTTTGTTGTGGATGTTTCTCAGAGTCTTATCTCTGGAGACGAGAACTTTTACTGATGGTCGACTCCTGACACTCACTTAGACACTCCTACAATCAGTGACTAAAATAACTCAAAAGTTTTACTTTATATTCTTCAATAAATGTTGTTGTGTTGATGTATACTCTTTATTGTTGGTTGTAAATTTACAGGAAAACTGTCCAGATAATGAGCTCCACAAAGACACTCCTTCTGCATTGAGCAACAACTTTTCATTTTAAAACCAAATGTACATTTCTCACTATTTGCAGGAGTGTGTTAGAGAGTGTCAGGAGTCAACCATCAGTAAAAGTTCTCGTCTCCAGACATAAGACTCTGAGAAACATCCACAACAAACTCAGACTATACTTTCAGGGATCATTTCTTTAGTTGTTGATTTGAGAAATGTGTTTCTAACGAGTTTCGTCTCACTGTCCATGATGAAAAATTCAGATGTTTCTTTCAGTGCAGGAAACTGGTGGGAAGACTTTCTGATGGAGGAAACATGATCTGAGTGGACTATTAAACCTGTGAAGTGAAACTTGAACATTAATTTTCTGTTTGTTTGTTGAGTATTAACTGTGATTTTCACATTTTTGATAAAAAGTCCAATACTTTCTGTTTTTGTTGGTCCTCGTGAGCTTGAAAGTAGAAATGTGCTTTCTTCATGACCTTTGCAGCCACAGAGATTTTATTTTTAGGTTTGCAGTAGGAATTTTACATTTAACTAAACTTCTTGTTTAAGTGAATTAAAATGTAATATTTTCTGAACACTGATGGGCAACTCCTGAGCTTCACAAAGTCACTTCTACAATCACTGACCACTTATGTTCTTAGTTTGACTTCGGTACACTGACAGAAACAAAATGACGATGATTTCTTGTAAATTTGAAACTCAATACAATATACATATATATCACAAAAAATCATTTTTAAGGGTGGGTCAAACTGAAAAAAAAATTTGATTGAAGGAGGATGATCTTAATGAATCTCAAAAGTTGATTGAGAAGTTCCTCCTTCTTGTGCTAGTTTTCTTTGTTAGAGTAGGTCAATATGCGTTAGAGAAGTATGTTGAACTCCTAGTCACGGCAGAGAACACCAACACAAATTTTTGTATTTTTAACAAGATACACAGTCCACTCACATCATGTTTCCTCCATCAGAGGATCTGTGAGAAACTCTGAACAATCTTCAACAATGGAGTAGAAAGAAAGTCATACCACCAGTTTCCTGCTCTGAAAGAAACATCTGAACTCTTCAACGTAGACAGCAAGACCAAACACTTTAGAAACACATTTCTCAGGTCAACGACTAAAGAAATGATCCCTGAAAGTATAGTTTTGGTTTGTTCTGGATGTTTCTCAGAGTCTTATGTCTGGAGACGAGAACTCTTACTGATGGTTGACTCCTGACACTCACTAAGACACTCCTCTTACAATTATTGAGAAATGTGCATTTGGTTTTAAATGAAAAGTTGTTGCTCAATGCAGAAGGAGTGTCTTTGTGGAGCTCATATCTAGAAAGTTTTCCCGTAAATTTACAACCAACAATAAAGAGTATACATCAACACAACAACATTTATTGAAGAATATAAAGTAAAACTGTAGCATTGTCTAAGTGAGTGTCAGGAGTCGACCATCAGTAAAAGTTTTCGTCTCCAGACATAAGACTCTGAGAAACATCCACAACAAACCAAGACTATACTTTCAGGGATCATTTCTTTAGTTGTTGACTTGAGAAATGTGTTTTTAAAGAGTTTGGTCTTGCTGTCGATGAAGAGTTCAGATGTTTCTTTCAGAGCAGAAAACTGGTGAGATGACTTTCTTTTTTCTCCACTGTTGAAGACTGTTCAGAGTTCCTGGAAGATTCTCTCATGGAAGAAACATGATCTGAATGGACTGTGTATCTTGTTAAAAATGAACAATCTTGTGTCTGTCTTGTGTGCCTCCAGTGCTAGTTCAACATACTTCTCTTGTACACATTGACCTATTTTAACAAAACAAACCAGCACAAGAAAGAGTGATTTCTCAGTAAATGTCTGAAATTCACTGAGATCCTCCTCCGTCATTCAAAGTAACTTTTAAGTTTGACCCACCCTTAAAAAAAAGGTAGTTTTGTGATATATATGTCTTATTGTATTGGGGATCAAACTCACAAGAAATCATCTGAGTTTTGTTTCTGTCAATGTACCGAGGTCAAACCAAGAACATAAGTTGTCAGTGGTTGTAGAAGAAGTGACTTCGTGAAGCTCAGGATCTCAGTGAATTTCAGGGGTTTATTGAGAAGTCTCTCTTTCTTGTGCTGTTTTTTGTTTTGTTAGAGTAGGTCAATATGTGTAAGAGAAGTATGTTGAACTAGTACCAGTGGCAGATAAGACAGACACAAGATTGTTTGTTTTTAACAAGATACATAGTCCACTCAGATCATGTTTCTGCCATCAGAGCGTCTTCCAGAAACTCTGAACAATCTTCAACAGTGGAGAAAAAACTAAATCATCCCACCACTTTCCTGCTCTGAAAGAAACATCTGAACTCTTCATTGTGGACAGCGAGACCAAACTCTTTAGAAACACATTTCTCAAGTCAACAACTAAAGAAATGATCCCTGAAAGTATAGTCTTGGTTTGCCGTGGATGTTTCCCAGAATCTTATGTCTGGAGATGAGAACTTTTACTGATGGTCGACTCCTGACACTCACTAAGACACTCCTCTAAAGATCAGTGACAAACTCGCATTAACTTCTAAAAGTCCATTTGTAATTCACAGTAGAATTGTCTTTGTGGAGCTCATTATCTGTCTTTCCCTGTAAAATAAAAACCCAATAAAATATTGATGTAAAGCTTAAATGAACAGCATGTACTGCTGTAATTAAAGGTAAGATTAAAATGTTATTTCAGTCACTATTTGTAGGAGGAGTGTCTTAGTGAGTGTCAGGAGTCAACCATCAATAAGAGTTCTCGTCTCCAGAGATAAGACTCTGAGAAACATCCAGAACAAACCAAGACTATACTTTCAGGGATCATTTCTTTAGTTGTTGACTTGAGGAATGTGTTTCTAAAGAGTTTGGTCTCGCTGTCCACGATGAAGAGTTCAGATGTTTCTTTCTGAGCAGGAAACTAGTGGGAAGACTTTGTTTCTTCTCCACTGTTGAAGATTGTTCAGAGTTTCTCAAAGCTTTTCTGATGGAGGGAACATGGTCTGAGTGGATTATCGAACTTGTTAATGATGACAACTTTTGTGTCTGCATAGTCTACCACTAATGGAAATTCTACATATTTCTCTCAAACAAATTGATCTACTCCAAGAAAACATACCAGCACAAGAAGTAGGGACTTTTCAATCAACTCTTGAAATTCACTAAGATTCTCCTCCGTCAACTGAAATGACTTTGAAGTTTGACCCACCCTTAAAAAAATATTTTTTGTGATGTATGTCTTAAATGTATTGGGTTTCAAATTTACAGGAATTCAACACTATTTTGTTTCTGTCAGTGTACCGAGGTCAATCGAAGAACATAAGTTGTCAGTGATTGTAGAAGAAGTGACTTTGTGAAGCTCCGGAGTTGCCCATCAGTGTTCGGGTAAATATTCAATTTTATCTCACTTAGACATGAAGTTTGCTTAAATGTAAAATTCCTACTGCAAATCTAAAAATAAAATCTCTGTGGCCATCACGTGATCACATTTCTACTTTGAAGCTCACAAGGATCAACAAAAACATAAAGTATTAGAACTTTATCAAACAATGTCAAAATGACAATTTTTACTGAACTAACCACCAAAAAATTAATACGCAAATATAACTTCAGCAGTTTATAGAGCCCACTCAGATCACGTTTCCCCTATCAGAGAGACTTTAAGAAACTCTGAACAGTCTTTAACAGCAGGGAAGAAACTGATTCTTTTTACGAGTTTCCGTCTCTGAATGAAACATCTGAACTCTTTATCATGGACAGCGAGACCAAACTCTTTAGAAACACATTTCTCAAGTCACCAACCAAAAAAACGATCCCTGAAAATATAGTCTTGGTTTGTTCTGGATGTTTCTCAGAGTCTTATGTCTGGAGACGAGAACTTTTACTGATGGTTGACTCCTGACACTCTCTAAGACACTCCTACAATCACCTCATCGTCAGACACAGATTTGCTCAAATATATAATGACGTCTTTCATGAAAAGTATTCTGATGTGTCACAGCAGAGGTTTAATTTCTCTGGGCTTTGAAGAGAGATTGCACTTTTTTGGGCCATTTTGCCTTTATTAGCTGTAGAGAGCAGGACACGTTTGAATCAGAGAGTGGGGGGATGACATGTAGCTAAGGGCTGAGGTAACAAAGTCTCTCTCTTGACACATTTTGGAATGCAAATTAAACATTTCCAAATCAATCAATGTAACACTGAAAAAAATGACTACCCCTTGAGTCATTATGGACAAAAATGTCCACTTCCAAAAAACTGCTATGAAATAGTACAGATTCATATTTTTCTCTGCTTTTTTCTGCATAAATCGCTTAAAAAACTTCAACCCTGCTCAAAACTACCAAATGTTCAATTATTTTTAGGATTTTAACCCTTTAAATGCCAGTTTGATTACTTGATGTCACTATTGCAACACAACACAAAAAATGAGTTATTTTCCATATAACAAATGTTGGATGGCTGGGGGATTTTTTTAAAATCAGTCTTGGATATGTCAAAGATTAGCCAAAATATTGACTTTGATACATTGTTAGTTTTTGTGTAGCATCAGATTTAAAATGTACTACCCTCTTGAGTCACTTAAGGAGAAAAATGTCCCATTAAAACCACATGTTTTAATCTCATAGCCATTACAAAATATAATCATGCATTTTGTAATGCTAGGTTTTCATTTTTTCATTTCATTCCTCGGTTAACATTTTTATGTGTTTTTAGTCTGAAGCACTACTATTTCTTTACATACAGAAAGTCACGAGCAATGAACAATACAGTCATAATCAAACCGTTGTCAGGTGCTACCACAGCTGTTGAACACTGATTCAAAGTCTATTTCATACTCTGGTTTTATACTAGAAGAACACAGAGGTGACTGCTCCTTCACTCTCCTCTTATTTAATGCTCAGATGATTAATTTGAGACAGAAACTTCTGTTCTCTCTGTTCCAGCTGGATGCTCTGCTCTCGCTGATAAGGCAGTGTTTTTTAACTGCTGCTGCTGGGAATTCTGTTTCTTCTTCTTCTTCTCTCTCTCTCTCTCTCTCTCTCTCTCTCTCTCTCTCTCTCTCACTCTCTCTCTTTGAAATCAAGGTGAGAGACATGACCGTCCCTCAAAGACTTATAGTAATTTGTGCAGAAACTGTATTTTGCTGGATGGAATAATGAGTTTCAACTTTTTCTGGTTTCCTTAATTCTGACAGCAATTAATGTGGAGCCGCCGGGAAACGAGTTTGATGACTGGACTGAACAGAATGCAAAGTCAGCTCAGTAGGGCCGTTAATGTGTTTGTGTCAGTGTCATCAAAGTTTTACTTCAGTTTTATTCATGTCAGCTTGTAAATTAATTTACTTATCACAAGCTGGAACAAGTAAACGCTTTGATATGGCTTCTAGCTTTATTGTAAAATCTGATTTATTTTTAATTACAAACTGATTTATTTTTAATTACAAAGATAAACAGTGGTTCAGTTATTGATCACGATTATTTTCTCTACTGTGTTTATGACTTGAGCACAGGTGAAAAAAGTCATGTTATGCCACTCTTTTAGCTGTACAATCTTTTTATTCTTTATTACCAAACTAAACAAACTTATACATGACTACCAACACTCCAACTCATTACAGTTCTGTTAAAACATGCAAATGCTGGTATAACGGTTTCAATAAAACATAAAGAGAGATTTGTAGCTCATTAATTATTAATGATTAATCGATAATTGAATGTGTTCAACAATCAGTTAAGAAAAATGACTGAAATTTGCAACCTTACCTGGATATATTACCATGTAAGAATTCAGTCACTGCCATAGGGGTGGTAGTGTACTTCAGCCTCTCTTTGCCAAATGTAGTTTACAACAACAGACATTTGCTAGGCAACAGAAACAATATTTGGTAAAGTTCTACTGCAGCACAATCTATAACCTCCACTATTCAGAGGAGGAGGATACGAGCAGCAAACAAGAAGGGTGTGTTCATGAGACACCAACCAGATTCTTATATATTGTTGCTTTAAGCCTCCTGGTGTTAGACATTGCAGACAAGGCAAAACAGGAGTAAATGTCCCACCTTGAACTGGCAATGTAAAAGGGGCTAATGATTTATGATGGTTTCCCCTTCGGGCATAAATGTTGTTATTTTATCAGAGATGATAACTTGACCTGAGGAATGATCGGTTATTTAAAGTTATAGCTGTTGTTTACGACTCCGTGCTCCACTAGAGATGTGGGTGAGAGAGTGACGAGTCCCCAATGTTGAACAAACTCCTTTTACCAGGTCTTTTACCAGCTATTTATGTCCAATAAATCAACATCTCGGGTCTGCTACTTGCACAAAAAGACTCTCGCTCTGTGGGAAACACTTTTGTTAACAAGTTAATCTGGCAGCAAATACATTTGGCAGCATAGCCAGAGATTGTATAGTTTTGTTAATTTAGTGTTTTTAACCCCTCGCTCCTCTAAAGCTCAACATTGTCATCCAAATGTTTTCACTTCTGGCTCCCATAAGCCAGACACAAGACCTCTAATACAGACGTATAGAAGCGTGATGTCATGTTGGCTATCTGCATTTTCTTTATAACGTATGGTTTTCACAAATATATGAAAACAACATTTTCCTTTATGTCTCTTCTCTCTACATATTGTTACAGGCCGATACAAAGACTTGACAAAAGCGTTAGAAGGCAGGTAGCCTTTAGCTGCCTCCTCTGTTGTTATCTTGTCCTCTCCGTTTCCTGCTTTCTGCTCAGAGGTTGTCAGATGGTTTTACGGTTACTATGGAGGTGGAAGGTCACTGTTGCTGTCTGGCAGAGGCATGCGGAGGGCTTGTCATTGTTTAAAGGCCACGATCTGAGCTTCAGAGCAGGCAGGAGAGCAGATACATGCAGGGCTGAGAGGCTGCAGATCCCCAGGGGGAAGTCGGGGCCATTCACTCAACTTTCATCCCATCAGCGTGGGCAGACGGGGATAAGGTGTGATCAAAGTAGAACTCCTGACCATCTATTCTGAAACTTCCTCTCACTCATCTCCAGTTTGTCTGACTCATCCTTTTACCATAACAGACATCTATTGTGTCTCCTATTTGTCAGATTTAAACCGAATGGGATAGTAGTTTCCTGTTTTTTTGATTATTTAATAAGGAAATGTGTTGTATTATTCATAGACATGTAAGAGATGACACATTTTTTATTTGAATTCAAGTCTTTGACCTTAACTTAAGCCTTGCTTTTTTTTAATTAACTGGGCCTAGGTGACTGATAGGTACAGATAGTTTTGGAATTTCTCTGATAGTTTGCTCTAGCAGGCGGCTCTAAAATAGAAGTACCTGCAACTGAAATGTTTTACAACTGGTTTTAAATCATGCGTTGAGCTCAAAGCATGATCTCTCTCCTGAACAGACATATATTTTCCTTTTCTTAATGTTCAAATGTGATGATTTTTTTTGATCCTGTGCAAAGTCAGAGAAATAAAAGATCTTTATCATGAAGGAGCACAGGTTGATTTTGAGAGTGTATTATATTTTTAAGGGGACCTAGTGGTGTTGTAGTCAAGACCAGACAAACTGAGATCAAGACATAACCGAGACCAGAGTGCTCCGAGACCGAGACAAGACCAAGACCATAAATATCACAGAAAAATGTTTCAACTTGTGTGCAGCAGGCGTGTCACTCACTAAGACTGTAACACCAGGAAGGATGCAGCCGTAGCCGGGAGATGAAAATCAAACTACAAACAAATTGAAATTATTTGGGTTTTTTTTTGGAAAGGGGCGTTTCATTCTTATCACAGTAATGACATGGAAAAATAGACCATCAGAGGTGGTCTTGACTGGTCCTGATTTAAAATCTGGAGTTTGTCCAGTCCAAGACTGACAAAAGACAGATTCAAATGAATGAATCCAAGATGACAGGAGACATTTAAGAAGTGGTCTCAAGAGCGGTTGTGAGACCAAGACTGATTTCGAGGACTACAACACTAATACGTAGATCGTCATATTTTGAAGTGTAAGTCAGCTGATCAAGCTGTTGTATTTGAAGACATGTTAGTATTGTGGGTATGCATTTTGCAGGGATTTGTTTCATAATGAAACTGTATCTCCAGCAGAGTGCACAAAAGTTGCTTTTAGAGGACAATTTCTGAACCTTTCACTGTTCACAGCTAATTTCAATTGGTCCTACATGTTTTCGTTGTAGAAAATTGTGTGCACTGAGTGTGTACGGAACCTTGTAATTACCTCATTTGTTGTGGCTTTGACTCCGTGCAATGTTTATGTTTGTGCTCAGGCTGGCATATGTAACAGTGTGTGTATGTGTGTGCGAGAGACCGTGTGAAAGATGTTACAACAGTCGGAAATCCTCTCTGCCACAGTCTCTCCATGTATACAAACACAGTGTACACTCAGAGCCAACACTCTCCTCACACATTACAGAGAGAAACTCTAAAGGCACCCAATTCAATTTACATACACTGAAAGGAACAATTACAAACACACACACACACACACACACACACACACACACACACACATACACACACACCCTCAGGAAGGCAGGCAGACAGCCACTGCAATGCAGAGCAGAGCTTCCCCCTCCGCTGTGTGGGAGACACACCAATCGGTGGGGGTGGACTTGAGATCCCTCGCTCGGTTATTTCAACAGTCTTCTTCTTCTTCTTCTACTTCTTCTTCTTCTCTGCCTTTATTTGTCTCTTGCTCTGTCTCTCTACGCCTCTTTTTCTCCTTTTATTTTCTTATTCTACCTCCTCCTCTCTGCCTCCTCTCTCACACATCTCTTTCTGCTCGCTTCAGTTGAAAGCTTCCTTATTTGCATGACATAACCCAAAGCTATACAGTGACATTAACGATTAACACAGCTTACACAAATTAATAACACAACAACAATAATTTGATATTACCCGTTTAAATGTAAATGTAAATAACGTTTAATACTCTCATGATAAATACCTGATTCAATTAGTCCTTCATTTGATTAATCCAGTTTCCCAGTATGAATGTAAATAAGCATCAATGACATGATAGGGAATGAATGTTCAGTTTATGGACACATCTTGTCAGTGAGAACGGACGGACATGTTTGTCCTCTCTCCTGTTTATTCTGTCAGCTGGCCTCAGTTGCTGAGTCACCTCACAGACAGGATGTGGCTTTAAAGAGAGATTAATAAGAGACTGAGTCTCCTGAGCAGCCGCAGGTTTATAAAGCAACGCACTCCTGCGCTGTTATCACGCAGCCTAGTTTGAATGTCATTCCTAATTTAGGACGGAGTTTTTACGCTCTGCTAACTATTTAAAGTGTTGCACCAGCTGAGATAGTTCCAACAAAACAACTTAAATCTTACACCTAGCTCCTAGTCAGTGTAAAGTCCTCTGTAAAATTTGGTTGTCATGGTGATGGGTTTTGTAAGGTGAGATAACTTGGAGGATGAGGAGGAGCAGAGGGTTTTACCGGCTGTTTGGTATCAGCAGTGTGTTCTCTGTGATAGATGACATCCCTCAGAAATTTAATAATAATAATTTGTGCTCCTGCTTTTGTTAATAATACAACAATAGAGTTGAATCACCTCATGTTTTAGATGAAGATTTCACCCACTTGATGTATCTGTTGTTATTTAACACTAGCTGTAGATTTAGGGTGAAGGCTTTAGTTATCACTTCATCAAAAGGCTTAGTCATGTTTTCTAAACGTTTTCATTTCTGTTTGTGCATTAACATCAGTTAAGAGACATTATTTGAAGCCGTAACTTTGTTCAGAGACGATGAGAAACAAGAGGCAGCAACATGAGGATGTAAAATATCATAAATTAAGAAAAACATTTCACTGATTGGTCAATTCAAATGAAGTCATTTCTGCAGCAATATCGGTTAGTTTGGAAGTTATGATCTACTAAGATGTACCCTACATCTCCATGGTAACCATGCAATTGCACAACGTTGTTTACGGTCACCAGAGTTTCTCTTTCAGTTGTCTGTAAACTATCAGGGGGTCTGACTAGTCTGACTTTTTTTTGCTTTATAATATGGAGACTTTAGTTCATGTGCCTGGATTATCTTTTTTCATGAAACTAAGGTAGGTGTAGATTAGATTTAGATGTATGTAAAGGTTTACATACTGCAATATGTCACTTGGTAAAAATAATATATGTATATATTGTATATAAAATGACTGTCATTTTGGAGTACATTTGACTTTTATTTTTGGAGAACCTTCCTGTTTGTATATTCACGTTTTAGTTGCAAAAAACTTTCACTGCAAGCTTTTAACAATCATAAAAAAAATGTTTTTTTAATGTCAGATGTTTATCATGTCGTTTGTTGTGACGGACTCTATCTTGTTGTCAAAGCATGATTTGTTAGCATCCTGCTGCTGATGGTTCACATAAATCCACATTGTGACAGGACACTCACTCAATCGCTCCTACCTGCTGGATGCCGGCCTGCTGCACACACGTCAACGGGAAAGTGCTCCAGGGTCTGTGTGTAGGCCTGTCAGATCCAATGAACATTTCTGTGTGTGTCTGTGTTTGTCTGTGTGTGTGTGTGTGTGTGTGTGTGTGTGTGTGTGTGTGTGTGTGTCTGTGTGTGTGTGTGTGTGTGTGTGTCTGTGTGTGTGTTTCTTCAGGGAGTTTGCCAAGGAGAGAGAGCGGGTGGAGAAGAGGCAGGAGTTCCTGAAGCTCCGCAGACAGCAGCAGATAGAGAGAGAGTTGACTGGGTACCTGGAGTGGATCTGCAAAGCAGGTCGGGCACACACACACAAACACACACACACACACACACACACACACACACACACACACACACACACACACACACACACACACACATAAAAAATGCAGTTGGTTTTGACACGAGAAGCTCTGACTACTTTGAACTCAGGTGTTTTTGTGTTGCAGAGGAGGTGATGCTGGCTGAGGAAGACAAGAACGCAGAGGAGAAATCTCTGGATGGAGCGTGGTACAAAAGGAAACAACACAACTCTGGTGAGGACTACCAGCTTCACAAACTACACTGAAAGTAGAAAATAACCTGTCAGGTTCTGAAACGGATCTTTTCACAGCACTTTAACACAAGACCAAAGAAAACTGGTGTCAGGAATGTTATATACACTGTTAGAGGAACATGGGGGGCTGCATTAGGTTTCCTACAGATCCTTAAAAAAGTCTTAAATGATTCAAACTGAAGGGTAAATGTATTGAAAGATCTTATTTACATGTAGGGGTTTACATGTCTTAGTACTTCCTGTCTAGGTAGCGTTATATTTTTTAAAGTTTTTTTTCTGTGAATTTGTTCGTTAACATGACAATTCCCAGCAGTTATGTCAGTGTATAATGTACCAATTCACAAACTACTAATGGAAAAGTGAGGGTGAAGAAGCGGGAGAAATGAAATGCAAGTTCAAGGCTTCAAAATGAGAAATTACAGAAAATAGTTGGCAGAGGGAAAATAACAATTATGAGGCAACTTGCAAGAAATGCAAAAAAGCTTTCAAATTGGGACAATGGGAAGCAAAGCTGGTGAATCCCACATAAAATCCTAAAAGCACCAACACTTTGCACTGTAAAAATGGTGTTAATCTTTCTTCGTTTGGGTATAGAAAGTTTTCAATTAGATTTTTAAAAGTCTGCAACCACTCTGAAAATATTCATCATTTGTTGGCAAACAGCCAGCAGAGAGTTGTTCTGATCAGAAAAAAAAGACAATTTGTGTTTGTTTGAAAGCCAATCATTGTCATCAAGGGATTCTAAGTTATAGTTTTTCTATATAAGGTCAAAGGCCTACTGTAGAAAATGTATTTTTTTTCAAAATAAAGATCCAGTTACGTTTCATGTCTTCTATCATCTTCTGCCAAATACCTGCAAATGCAACTTTGGTAGGACAGAGAAAAGACATCTCTGATCTCAATGGGACTAACCTGGATAAATAAAGGTTAAATCTCAATAAGTATCTGTTGGATAATAATAGCTGCAGGTAAGAATTCCCACAACATATTCTGACCCCCCCTTTATAACGAGGCTTTATTATGTAAGCATGAGATTGAATTTTTCTTAAGTGAGTACATTTAGCCATATTGGCTTTAATGGATAAAGTAATACAGAGCCACATAACCCTGTGATTTTATTACACACCTTTGTTGTGTGAAACAAAAAAAATGTCCTTTAGCATTGTAATCTAATGTAGAGTAACATGTGTGATGTTTGTGCAAAGAGCCCAATTTCTCCTGTTTTTTAACTTGATTATTTCCCTCTTCATCTCTTTTTGTTTGTGTGCTTCTATGTTTGTTTTATTTTGTTCATCTATTTTAGTTTACAATTTGTGTTTACATATTTGCAACAATATGAGAGTGAGGATGAGAATGAGAAAAAGTTGAATCGTTTTGGAAATACTGTTAAAGTGTGCACCAGCTTGTCTTAAAATACCAGGAATGTAACTACAATGCAGTGATAGCCTGTACCTAAAGAAAGCTTTGAGTTGTGATTCCAGATTCACTGGGGTCAAATTATTTCCCCTCAATCAAAGATGTGACGGATAGATGCTCTGTTAGGGTGCATCATAAATCATCACATGAATCCTTTGTTTATAGCAGCTGGAGAGGATTTTAACTTCCCACTCTGAGTTTATGTGTGTGTGTGTGTGTGTGTGTGTGTGTGTGTGTGTGTGTGTGTGTGTGTGTGTGTGTGTGTGTGTGTGTGTGTGTGTGTGTGTGTGTGTGTGTGTGTGTGTGTGTGTGTGTGTGTGTGTGTGTGTGTGTGTGTGTGTGCTCGCCCTCTTACACACATCCTCTCCTTATCGAGGCTGCACCGCCTCTCCTCCTCAGCTTCACCGAGGGGAACAGTCACAGTGATTATGGGTGCGGGGTTGGAGGGTAATGAGATTAAAGTGAAGAACAGAGAGCGAGGCTCACCAGAGAGTTCAGAGGCATCATGGGAGTACGAGGGTCCTTCACACATTTTTACTGCTCTTCTCTTCTTTTCTCTCTAGTTTTTAAGACTCCTTGATTTTTTTTTTAGTCAGTGGCAGAAGTGGACAGCTTAAAGTCCGCTATGGAGACATTTCCAGAGATTTAACAAAGCTGTAGTTCATTATAGGAAAAAAGGTTTTTGACAGCACAGACAGACTGTATACCTGACACACACTCTGTTTTATAGCTTCTTAATAGTGTATTCAGGTTGAGCCCCCTAATGATGACAGTTTTCTCTTTATCTATCCATTATTGTCTTGAAACGCTGGCTTTTCTATAAACTGTGAGCAGTAAAACTGTCTGTCACAGAATCCTGAAACATTTTCACATATCATATTTTGTTAGTGTTGAGACCAAAACCAAAAAGAAAAAGAGAAAATGTATAAAAAACTGAGAAGCCAGAAGCGATGATCAAAATGTGTTGTTACTGTCACGGCCGGCTCAAAGCCAGCGACAGATGAGCGGAGGAGACGAGGAGTTAAAATAGGTTTCATTTATATACACATAAGAAATGAAGTCATTTTAAGAAAAAGGAGCATTGGGGGCCAGCCTCTCCCACAATGAGGAAGTGAGAGAACACCAGGCCCAGGTGCTCCCACTGGCACCTGAAACACACAGAAGCAACCAGCAGGGTCATCACATTACCAGAACACACATTCTCTGTTCATGTTTGAATTACTTTCAGTCTTAGATATTGAAATAAAAACCTATATCCAGTTTTAAAAATCACTTTATACTATATCGGATGAAAAAAGTAGATGTGCTCGTTTTTATTAGTCCTTTGATTTATTATCCGATCATTTTCTTATTAATTTATTTAATTTAATTTATTTGGATGTTTTTATCTCACAAGATTGTTGTGTTTTTTTCAAATGATTTTATTCATCTAAAGTATTTGAGATCATTTTCAGTTCAATCCAAATGTACAGAGTTTAAACAGTGAGATATATGAAGGGGATCGCTACAGCTTCCTGTAAAAGTCATAGATGAGTTGATGTGTTGCAGCAAGGTCAAAGCAGAACATCTGAGCGTTTGTGAATTAAGACTGAAACATGGCAGACAGGTCAAGAGTTAAATGATTGGGAAGTGCAAATAGCCTAGCGATTATGTCGCACACCCCATGTACGGAGGCTGTAGTCCTCGTCGTGACGGCTGTGGGTTCGAATCCCACCTCGTTCTTTAGCTGCATGTCATTCCTCACTCCTCCCAGCATCACCTGTCTCTCGTCAGCTCCCCTGTCCAATAAAGGAAAAAAGGCCCAAATAACTAACTTACAAAAAAAAGTTAAATGATTGTCCAAGTCAACCTTCAACAAAAGCCTTACAAATCTAATGTCACTCTGATGAGCTGCTTTCTGAAGCGTGTGATTTATTTCTCTACATTCTGTATTTGCAGTGTTGAAACGGACCAAGAAGAGTAAGAACGACCTCATCAATGCAGAGGAAGGAGAGGACCACTTCACTGACATCTCATCTGTTGGTGAGGACCATGAAACATGAGACTGAAACACTGACATATCACTGTTAAGTCTGTATACCTATTGAAACTAAACAGCTGCTGGTGTATGCATTATTCAGTTAGCCAATGGTAAATGAAACAAAATGAGTATATTCAACTTTTATAGATTTTTTGTTGATGAAACAACATTAGCACCTAAAACTTTACACCATTGCCTGTTCAAACGGCCGCTATTATCCTCAAAGTGAAGTTAATAATCCGGTCAAACGGTCGGTTCAAAAAGGTTCTAACTCCAAAACAAAAAGGTCTATCTCTGTAGTTAATCTGAGCCTGTCAGGAACAAAAACAACTTTTAATGGACGGAGGATGCATGTAACCTGTAAATTCACTTTCCGGCTGTGAAATCCCATTTTCTCTACCTGCACTGTTGTTAATTTACTGCTCTGTGTGCCTTTGAATTTTGCTGCTGATACTATTTTAGTCATTTAGAACCCAAGATGTGTGACAATAGGGCCTTTGTCTAAATATCACAGGTATCACATACATATCAATCATTCACCGTCTTTTATGTCTTTCCTGTCCTTTAAGGCGAAGGTGAGACTCTGTGTAAATGCTTCCTGCTTGTAAACAAACACTGAAGCCTTTATTACCTATGGATCTGTTTCCTTGTTTCTGCTCTTTGATAGGATGCAAAAGTATATCTTTAAAACAAAGTGTGTTGGCACAGGGTTCTTAGTTGTGTTCCTTTAATGTTGTAAATATGAAGTTTGAAGTGGCAAATATAACATTTTGCTTTGATAAAATAAAGATTTAAAAAATATCAGGAACATATATGATTCATTAACCTTGCTTTGCATCACCAAACACACTTTTAGTGTTTAGAACCATTAAAAAACACTTGATAATAACAAATCAACAGGCATATAAAAAGAAGCACAGTGCAGGTTAGTTTGGGTCACCAGGTGCTACAGGATGAGTCAGGAGTCTGGATTAAAATAGATCAGGAAATGATGAGGCCCCCTAGTCTTCCTGAGCTTGTAATGAAACCCTAATAGATCCATTTTTCTCCTTCTCCTTTGTGTCCACTTCCACTTGACATTTGAGCTTAATTTAAAGTTACAGAAGGTTTAATTTAGTTCAGACTAAATGAAGAAGACCTTGGCTCTGTGTCTGAAACAGCCAAGGTCGTCACTGAGGGTACATTACACGGCGTTAGTACATTTGTCTTTGAGGTATTCCCACAGTTTTTACTGAGCATGTGAACTTCTACTCTAAAAGAAACCCTGGATTATACTGATGAGTAAAAGCTTTAAACTGACACATCTCTGCATCTCCTCATTTGCCACTTAGCTCAGGTTAAAAGTATGTACTGTACACTCAAACACACTCTGGGTCTGTTAGGATGACCTCACTTTTTTAGACCTGGTAACTTTATCGCCGTTTTTTGTGTTTTGTCCCAACTGCCCCCCCAGGGTCTCCTTTCACCCGGGCCAGCTTGAAGAGCCAAAAAGAAAACTCGTCCTACTTCAGGAGGAAAGAGAAGAGAATCCGCTTCACCATCCGCCGGCTGGTCAAGTCTCAGAGTTTCTACTGGACCGTTCTGTGTCTGGTCGGCCTGAACACGCTGTGTGTGGCCATCGTACACTACGACCAGCCAGATTGGCTCACATATGCACTATGTGAGTACCAGCCGTTGTAGTGTTGTTTTAATATCGCTAAGCTGCTATTGTTTTCACTATTCATTTAGTTTTATTATATTTGACCAGCTGCACATACACCAACAAATTACTGAAAATATAATAGAGTATCCCCCAGTGATTGATAATGAAGACCTGAATAAGGAGACGCCTCTCTGCTTTGCTTTTATGGACTGTATAAAAGATGGACGTAGGCTCAGTGACATAACCCATTGGTTTCTGAAGAGGCGTTTTGAAGCTCAACAATGGCAGTCCCGATATTTTTATCTCCACCTGACTTTGGATGATCTAGAAACAAATGAAGAGGTGGAGCTGAGGCAGACCGTAGCAAATGTCAATCACCTCAGCCACGCCCCTTATTCTGCATATTAATGCATACCTCTTAATATTATCAAAATGGATTTGTTAAAAAAAAGTTGACCCCCTTCAGTTTTTATCGATAAAGAAAGGAGCTATTGAGACAAAAAACATTTTTGCACCATGCTGTAAACATGTTTATTTCTGCTGTGACATTTTGACTTGGGACCTTAAGGGGATTTCTTGGTTTATGGAGCCAACCCCAAATGGAAACTTGAGGAAGTGCACTTTTTTGTTTCTTTTTTTCAACACTTGAGGTTGCCCCTTGATCATGTCTTCCCTGTCGCCACTCATCAAATTGTAGCCCCTAAAGCTCAATGAGCATTTTCACTTTTCACCACTATTTTAAAGAGACACCTGTTTATATACAGTATATCCGGGTTTTAGGACTCATTAATGCATCACCCTATAAACACCAACTTTAGGTATTCAGGTCTTAATATATCAATAGAGTAGCAACACTCAGTGTTTTTACTACTGCAATGATTTAACTTCATGAAGAATTAGGTTCTTCTTCATTAGGATCAAAGATCAATAACATACTCTTGCTCAATAAAAAAGGAGAGTTCTACTACTAAAGCAGTAAAATGTCTGGTGCACCAAAAAACAGCTTCTGGTTCTCTTGTGCTTAGGAGGCCGAGCGCTGAAAACACTGTACTGTATTGGTTCTGTTTAGTAAATAGGTGCTTCCAACACAAAAAACCCCCTCAAACTTAGTGGACACAGGCCCTCAGTGTGTTAGTTTGACGTTCATTTGTGTAAGAACAAGTAAGTCGCTTGTAAACTAATTAAACCAACTATAGCAACGGGCCTTTTACAAACTGATAAACAAGCTCACCAGAAACACAACTCTGTTAGCTACATAAACCATGCACTTGCTTTTATGTTATGCAAACAATAATTATGTAATTTGTGATGGTTGCTTCCTGTTTCAGTGTGCACAGGTAATATTCTCTGGGCTCCACAAAGTGAAAAAATAAGAAAGCCATGTTGGCATTAAGTCTGGTATTACTATGCTTAGCATAGTGGACGTCGCTGACTTTAAGTTTAAGTAACTCATACTGATATGCACCTGCTTTATTTCTGACTGGGTTTGTTCTTCCTGTCAATGGTCTTCTCTCTGATGTCCTGCTGTACGTCTACACAGGGACTCACGTGCAAACATGGATCACACGAGTACCATTGTACATTTCACAGACACATAAAAGAGCAAACACACAGCTCACACGATGCATCATGGGAGAATACAGCAGTTATTTCCTCAAACAATAGACTCTTTCTGTGTCTTATTTGCCGAGGGCACAGCTGAACAGGCAGCAGCTCAGCTCTATTGAATTGTAGAAACCAGCAGAGAGGGTATTTCTGACCCGGGGGCATTGATCTGTGTGTTTTCTTATTGTCCCCTTACAGACCTGGCCGAGTTTGTATTCCTCGGCCTGTTCCTGGCAGAGATGTCCATGAAAATGTATGGCCTTGGCCCCCAGAACTACTTCCACTCCTCCTTTAACTGCTTCGACTTTGGGGTGAGCCGACCCAAGTTGAATCAGTCCACAGAGGTTTTTTACAGAGCAGCAGCATGTGAAGAGTTCATTCAATGAGTCAGGGCTGATGCTTCTGAAAATAGATTACCGATGTGATGTCTTTGGATAGATGTACAGATTGTATATTAGGAATTAGTAAATGCAATCTGCAGCATGAACCCTTCTGTGTCCTCAGGTGATTATTGGCAGTATTTTTGAGGTGATCTGGGCTGCTATTAAACCTGGCGCTTCATTTGGGATCAGCGTCCTGCGGGCTCTGAGGCTGCTCAGGATCTTCAAAGTCACCAAGTGAGTCAGCAGGAATGTTCAGCCTTTGACACTGCTTATGTTATCATATTTCTGAATTTTCATATACACGTGTGTGTGTGTGTGTGTGTGTGTGTGTGTGTGTGTGTGTGTGTGTGTGTGTGTGTGTGTGTGTGTGTGTGAAGGTACTGGAACTCTCTGAGGAACCTGGTGGTATCTCTGCTCAACTCCATGAAGTCCATTATCAGCCTGCTGTTCCTCCTCTTCCTCTTCATCGTGGTCTTCGCTCTTCTGGGCATGCAGCTGTTCGGTGGCCAGTGAGTTGTTTGTTTTTTCCGCTCCTGCTGGCAGTTCGAAACAAGTTAAAACACAAATTATTTGAGTGACAAATCACTTTGGTAATGCTGGAAAACAGGCTCAGTCCTGCCAAAGGTTTTGTGGATAAAGAAACCTTTCCTTCCAGAGAAAGTTCAGTTTCCCCAACAGAGTGCCAAATGCTGTGCTACTGGAGGCTGATTATTCAGCAGTAAAAGTCAGCCCACAGTTTCTCTATAGGAGGCATGAAGTCTTTGAAGGATTCTTATAAACCTGAATACATTGATTTCATTAATATTTAAAGAATAGAGAATATATTAATGTCATATTAACCTTCCGAGGGATCACTCACGGCCACACATACAGCCCCACTGCTGACTCAAAACGTCTCAGTGTTCCCATGAAATATCTAAAAACCAGTACGTCTTCACACTTTGATTAGTTACTTATTGTCATTATTCTTATTCTTATTATTAAAGGGCAATAATAGAAAAACACTTATTCTTATAATAATAATAATAATAATACTTAAAATGCAAACCAGAGTTACAAGGTGCAGCACAGGCAGACATTAAAATACCAGGGAGTAAAACCGGACCATGCAGACTAAGACAGTTTTCGTGAAGAGTTAGAATAACATAAATACATCAATAAAATAAAGTACATAAAATAAAAAATCAGCACAGCAGTCAAGAGAAGGCTCTAGGTAGGATAAAGCAAAGTGTTCAGTAACGCCTTAAAAGAGGACAAAGACTGAGCTGATCTGAGATCCTCTGAGAGGAGAGAAAAGGGTCTGCCCTTATAAATAACTCTTAAGACGATCAAAACAACACCGCACAGCTTCCAGCACCTGCGGACTAAAAGAGAGACTTGTGTTCAAAAACACTCCAAGCTCTTTGGCCTCTTCTTTAACACGGATCGATACAGACCCAACCCGGACAAAAAAGCCACTGATTTCATGTCTTGAGTTGGAAGGAGTGATTATAATGATTGTGGTCTCTGAGTCACTCAGACTTAGAAAGTGTTTGTGGAAGTCAGAGGGTAAACTCTTGCTATGTTGTTTTATTTTCTTCATGAATACAGCAAGTCATTTCTTTAAAAAAAATTAAAACGAGAACCACGAGGAGCTTATGTGAAGTGCTTTAGGCTTTTATAAACAGGGTGACACTAGCTGTGCACACCATCTTCCCCAAGGCTTGTAGAAATGCTTAGCCAAATGTTTCATTTGGTGACAAGAATAAAAAAAAGTGAAAACGAAAAATATATTTTATTAAATGTAACTCATCAGTTTGTTTGACAAGACTCTCTCTTTATAACTCTTTAAAGTGAACAGTCTAAAGCATGTGGTGCAAAGTGTATAAGGGCGTGTTCGACCTGCCTTTGCATGTTAGGCGGCACACAGTCTGGGCGTTAAATGTTGGATTAAGTCCCTTGATTATAAGTGGATGTTTGTTTTTGGAGTGACCTGAATCAAACCAATCAGGGTGTCAGCTCTCATTCCCTTTAAAGAGGCAGCTGCACCTGCCTGAAGGTGTGCCACCTGTGCGCCTGACCACACCTCGTTTTAAGACAAACATGCCCTAGGGCGCTCACATTGGCACATGTTCATTTGTTATAGGGCGCTGTGCATAAAAAGGACAGCCGTGTCAGGTGGAAAATAAGAATGACATTCAGGCTGTGCACCAAAACACTTTGCCTCAGGTGTAGTATTATTAGAAAACTCTCACCTCTGTCCAATCACATGCTAGGGTTTCATTGTGTTCATTTGTTGGTTGTATGATGTCAACAAACCTTTGAGCTCAGGCTGGACAGTTTCAGAGGATATGAAGGACTAGAAACTGTCTACCTTGCAATGTTTTTGGTCCCAACAGATTTTTTATTTGTTATCTGTTATTTCATTGCACAAAAAAGTGAATTACTTTCATATTAACCTGTCTTATGATTTTTATTTATTTATTCAAAGTACAGATAAACAGCCAAAAGAAAATATACTTCATTGACATGTAAAGAAAAATGATAGCAGCCTTTGCAATAAAAAACTTAATAGTCGGAATAAACGTAAGTCAGTCCTACATTTTACAGGGCCCCCCCTTGGACACGCCCCTGAGTGGGACATAGGGTAAATGGTAAATGGACTTGAGCTTGTAAAGCGATTTTTTATTCTACTACTCAAGGCACTTTCACACCACAGGTCACACCTACACATTCACCCACTGATGGCAGAGGTTGTTATGTAAAGTGACCATCAGTTTTATCTAATCCCATTCATACACATGTATACGAAGCAGTGGGAGCAATTCAGGGTCTACCCTACAAGTGTCTTGTACAGGGACACATCGGACATGTTGCTGCAGGAGCTGGGGATCGAACTCCCAACTTTTCAGTTACATCAACTTCTACAAGCTAGTTTGGTTTAAGAGTAGAGAAAACTCCCCTTCATTAATTAAACAGAACAAAATATATAGTGTATATATATATATCACCTCCTACTATAATGCAGTTTTGCATTTCTTCTTTCTGCGGCCGTCTTTTAATGAGATCTAGACTAAAGACAAAAAAGCTCTCATGGATTTGAAAAAGTCGCAGACAAAGTCTGCTGGCGTTTCGGCCTCCTCTGTCTGAATCCCTCACATTGTGGGGAGATGTAATTAGGTCCCAGTAGACGGACAGAGATACCAAATGTCAGCATTAGCACGACTCGTCCATTTGAGGAGAATACCCGCCATAAGGTCAAATGCACGAGGCACTCAGACGACTCAAATGTAATGGGCATATATGTGTTGAAATGAGTCCAGCAGCCTAATGAAGAAGACGATAAGCCGCAGCAGGTAAAGAAAGACTGAATGTGACTGTGTTTGAAGCTTGATTATGTTCTGTTTGTTTCCTCCCTGCAGGTTTAATTTTGAAGATGAAACGCCGACAACCAACTTTGACACCTTCCCTGCGGCGATTCTCACCGTCTTCCAGGTAAAAGGTCAACCCCATCAAGCTTTGTTTTCCCTGCTCTTCTTGTTCAGCTGAACTGGACTCTGTGTCTCCTGCAGATCCTGACTGGGGAGGACTGGAACGCAGTCATGTACCACGGGATTGAATCGCAGGGGGGCGTCCGCGGGGGGATGTTCTCCTCCATTTATTTCATTGTTCTTACTCTCTTTGGAAACTGTATCCTTTCCCGTTTGATCCTCATTGATTCACCTCTGTGTCTGTCAGGCAGCCTTAAAACTCTCTGAGATTTCACTTTGATTTGAAGAACAGCTGCGATTGTTAACATCGATTCTGTGCTCATCAATCGTTTGATCTTTTTTTTTCCTGAGACCACAAATAACCAGACACACTCCTCAACGTGTTCTTGGCCATTGCTGTCGATAACCTGGCTAATGCCCAGGAGCTCACTAAGGTACAGTGTTTCTTTACAGTCTGAGGTACGCTGGTTTTATAACGCTTTAAAGGAGGCAATAAAAGCAGCGGCACCATTCACCCCAATGGAATCTATCGATAAAAGTCCTTAACCTTAAATCAAATCCCCCGTGTTTTTTTTATACCTCCTTTCTTAACAAGACAGTAAATATTTGTAGGATATGAGGATCCTTTGGTTTACAGGTTTCATAACACGGCCTACTTATGAAGAGGGGGGGTTTGGAGTGTAACTGATATAAGACCAGATCAGTAAAAAAGTAATCGTAATGATCGGGAAGGAACATTTCCAGCTGTTAATAGCTCACCATATAATGTTCAGTTTGAAGTCTAAGAGAGTTAAAGTCAGTAAATTAAGGGACACACTGAAGGGAGTAAATGAAAACAACAGGTCAACACTAAAAATCGATGTTTCAAACAGGGATGGTTCTCTCAGTCATTTGTAAAAATAAGAGAAATAAGAATTTGTGTGAGGACATAAATAAAGAAATCTGAAGGACTGGAGAACCAATAATAGTTGATGAGTTAGTTTGTATTCCCTAAACTCCTCTGGTTGCTCTGATCTGGGGCCTGTACTAAGAAGCAGATTTTGGGTTGTTGAGGTAACTTCAGGGTTAACTCTGGGTTTCCAGGACTTTGATGGTCGTTCACTTCTAACCGGGGTAGATCACCATGGTAACTTATACACTTTCCCTGCTCCAGAGCAGGTTACGATCAGCTGCACAGCTTCTTAAAGAGACAGACTCTAGTTTCACATTTCAATATTTATCTTTACAAACATTATATTAGCTAAATGTCACATTAAGAATTGCACTGCTTCCTTTCAGACCCATTCTGTACCTCGCAACATAATTGCAGCTGAATCAGATCTCTTTATCTGTGTGATGGTGAGAGAGGAGGAGGGAGAGAGACCGACAAACACGATCAAAGACAAATGTGTTTTTAGTTCTCATCCTACAACAGAGACGAATCAAAGCACAGAAGCCTTCCACTTTTTGTACATCTAAGAAAATGTTTAAACATACTTATTTCTCTGAGTTATGTTTCCATATTTATTTTTACAAGCCCCACACTGCTCTGCATGTCGGGCTTGCAGCTGAAATAATACGTCCTAAACTACCAGACACACCACATAATGAGAAAATAATTCCTTTAAGAGAAGAAACAGGGGCTGTTATGTCCCTATCTGCTGTGCACTAATGATGATTAAGCAATATTATAAGCCCTCATTTGGGATTTATCTTCCTGCATGTGTCACTGCAGCTGTGTTGATTTGAGCTGGATTACATGTTTAACTTCTTCATATCATAGTTTGCTCTGAGTTTGGGAAATATGACGAGCTGCTGACAGCAGACATGTTCATGTTTATAATTCTTCTCATGATGCTAACTCTGCTCATTTTGTGTAGCTGTGCTCATACAAACTGATCGGATTGATAACCAGCTTTGCGTGACCGTTTAGCGTCTCCTTTAGGAGGGATTAGTAAAGCCACATCACTGAACGATACCCCCCGGAATGTGGAGCTTGCTTCATAGTACAGGCCTCTGCAGGGAGTTCTATACAGATGATGTTGCTGTGATTATGGATGAAAAAATACATTCTGGATCTGCTAGATAAAGGTCACACTGAAGCAGCTTAAAGGTCACAGCCTTTAACAGGCGCATGTACTGTGTGTGTATATCTGTATGTATGTTATTGCACACACTGTCCAGGATGAAGAGGAGCAGGAGGAGGCCATCAATAAGAAACTTGCAATGCAAAAGGCCAAGGAGGTAAAGGAGGTCAGCCCCCTGTCGGCGGCAAACATTTCCATCACAGCGTAAGTCCACCTCTTCTTTGATGTTCTGTTCGTCTCGCTCTGCGCACACACACATGCATGCGCACACTCCAAGAAGACACACAGTGAACTCAATCAGTCAATAAACTCGTCTCTGCAGAATTTTACTATTCAATCTTCTCCTTTCCAACGAGTCAAAAGAGCTCTTCGTGGAAGAATCATATTCAGAAAGTCAATGCAGATATAAAGGAGGGATGGAACACGTCCTGACCTACGTCTTCTTACCTGCATGTAATTCCCAACTCTCTCTCTCTCTCTCTCTCTCTGATTCCTCACTCTATCCACTGTCATCTCTAATAAAGGCAAAAAAAGAGTCCAAAAATAAATCTAAAAGAAGACATTTTATGAGCACATTTTATGCTCATAAATGAGTCTGTATAAGAAAATATATATTTAAAGTTAGTTGATGAAAAGCATATAAGTTATAATGTAAAGTTATGACCAGTAATACATTTATTTATTTAAGAATACATAAAAATACAAAATTAAAGAAGATTTTCATAATTATGTGGCTGAAATAAATGATGTATTAGAAATATAGAGAATTAAATCTCTTTATAAATGAACACATGAATGTGACAATAAATGAAAAAGCTAAATACTCTAAATATTTTGTATACAGTTACTCATATGTTTATTTTCTCACTCTTTTGATGGTCTTTTTAATTAATCCCCATGATCCTCATTCTCCAGTGCCAAGATTTGGTCTCTGCCTGAAGTACAAAGTAACTCGTGCCAAAAACAACAGAGAAATAAAACTGATAAGAGGAAAGGATTCAAAACAGACACACACAGAACAATTCAATATAATTACATTTTAAAAGAGGAGCATTTCATAGCTGAGGGTATTAATGTATAAACATAGTTATTCATCCCTTATTTATTGATTTAAATAATAATAATAATACTTTGTTTGTGGAGCACTTTTCAAGACCGGTGAACAATGTGCTTAACAGAAGTAATTTAAAAAAAGACGATAACAATAAAAGATACATAAACAGCAGAAATTCAGTCATACAGGTGAAACAAAAAGACAAATGAAAGTAAAAACATTAAAACAGAGGCAAGTCTTTAAAAACAAGTTTTAAGGCTTTAAAAGCAGAAACAGAGTCAGCTGAACGGATGGAAAGTGGAAGACTGTTCCACAGCCGAGGTGCCCTGACTGAAAAGGTCCTCTACCTTGACTCAGGTTTTATGAGCAGGCATAAGGCAGCCGATCTCAGAGGTCTGCTTGGGCAGTAGGGAGTTAAATACCCAGTGAAATATTCGGGTGCAAGGCCATGTAGGGCTTTGTAAGCTGTCAGTCAAATTTCTAAAAGAGATTGGCATCAAGTGCAGTGAAGCTAAAACAGGGGTGGTGTGAGAGGTGCGATTTGTTCTTGTGAGGAGTCTGGCTGCAGAGTTCTGTCCAGTCTAAATACTGGAATACAAATTTGTTCACAAAAATTAACAACCTTATCTGAGTCGTTTTGCGATAAAATATTATGACTGTTTGTGGTTAAAAAATGAGACGACGAACACGTCTTGTTTAAAGAATAATATGACATTTCAGAGTCGATGTCCAATTTAAAGATTAAGTTTATCCTAACTCACTCAGTTTGATCTTCTGTCTAAAAAATGAACATGTGAGAAATATGACAGACGTTTCCTATGTGATCACCACACACAGAACTTCTTTTAAGTGATGTGATAGATATTAAAAGCTCTGTTGATAAGCCAGTATGTCCATGAGATACCTTTTTATTTATAATATACAACACATTAGAACTCAAGACGACTCACATACCTCCGGTCGATCCTTTATTCATGGTTGAAAAGAAATTAAACAAAAATCATTTTCACACCAACACAGAAAAAATGATTTGTAGTGCAAATAGCTGACTATTCATGCGGATGATTATTATTCTGATTTCTCACTAGGATTTTGTGTATATTGTTTTATTCTTGTTTCAAATGCTTTCATGATTAAAAATCAGTGTGGAAAAACGGACCCAGATGGGTCAAAATAGCCGTGCTGCAGGACTGGGATTAAATGACCCAGTGCCAAGGGAGTGTTGAGACTCAGTGAACTCTAACAGAGGGTTAAAATGACCCCTCTGTAGTGGGTCAGGATGCTTGCTATTTTGACCTCCTCTGGGTCCATTTTGAACCCGGTGATTTTGAGTGAACACTGCTCTTAATTGATTTGTTTCATATTTGTTGTCCTGTTGTTTGTTATGTACCCATTTGTGTTATTTTGCAGTTTCTCTGAAGGTTAAGTATTTATGAGTTTGTTAAACACAAAAATTCAAGCGCTGCTCTGGAAGCAGAAACAATCTCATTGGTGGAGCTGAACCTCAGTGGGTGGAGTCAAAACGGCATTCCCATTTCTTTGGGTCAAACTTTTTTTAATTTAAATTTTGAAACAAATTTAACATTTTGTCCGTCGTCCTGCTCTTCAAAGTTGTACTCATAATACGTTTTCAGTGAACAGATTCATGTGTAGTGTGAAAAAAGTGTCTGGTTTAATGACAACTTGACAGTTTTGAAGGCTTAATATGCAAGTTCTGAATGATAATAAATCAAAAATCAAATACACCCTTCGTCAATATATATAGTGGAATAATGACCTCTTAAATAGAGTGAAGTGAAAGTCCCTCTAGGTTTATTGTTCTGAGCTCTGTGTTTACAGCCTTTCCGTCACTGCGGCTCAAACATGTGTTTTTTTTACTTTAACCGCTCCCTCTCTTACCGAGGAGGGGGAGAGAAACAGCCCCGCCCACTCAGGGATTCTGTTTCTAGGGGTTTAATGATGGAGTGTCGTAGCAATGGTACAACCGTCAATCATTGCATTTCCACACCAAGCGCCACGGTCCGTCTTCGGAGCGTGCCTCCATGCTGCAGGCACGCGTCAAGCTATTCTGTCTGTCAAGCTGGACAGAATAGATCTACCCGGAAAGGAAGTCAGACAAAGAGATGCACAGAGCGTTCAGGCAATTTCAAAATAAAACCCAATGTACAGACTCATGGTCGTATTTTTCATTACTTTATCAACATTACATCAAAACAGGCCCTGAACGAACAACACATCAACCTCAGAATGACAAAGCAACAAGTTGTTTGCGCGTTCTTTTCTTTATTCTCGCAATCTTGTAGCTCTCGTGGGATGTGTGTCGACTGATCATGGCTGCGCTCCACTTCTAGAAATGGATCAAGTGGGTCAAGGCGCACGGCGTCGGACAGAGCAAAGCCGTGGCACTGACGGAACGTGACACGCACATTTGGGTATTTGGAAATTGGGTTAGTTGGTTAATGGCCTATTAGATATGAAGAATAAGGTGCTGACAAAAAGCATTTAATAATGACTAATAAGCAGCTACTTAATGGTATATATTGTGGCCTTAATATAAAGCGTTACCATGAAGTTGATTGTTCACAGAAACACAGAAAGCCACTCTGCCATTGTTAAACCACTAAGAAAATATTAGACACTTTTTTTAAATCAAAACGTGCTCTGAAGTTCTTCCGATAGACTCAACAATATTGATGAAATAGCAGCAAAGTGTAACTGTGTAGCCACATAAACTGACGTTTAGATGCCTCCAACAAACACAGGTTTATTTCAGCTCCACCCTTGACATTTTTCTTGTGTCAAAAGCAAAAAAATAAAAAACTTTTTTTAAAATCCTCTAAAATGAGTGACAGTGACATCGGGTTCGTTCATAGATTGCAGTGAAATCCTACTCGCTCCTTTCTGGGCTCTAACAGTTTTTCCCTCTCTCATTTTAACTTTAAAAAATGAACAAATTGTGACTTTGGCGATCCATATGTCCCTGATGGTCGTGACATTTACTTCCTGTTTCAGTCTCAGTCTTGTGTTTCTGAGCTTTGACTGCCCATTGCATTGAGATGTGATGGGAGGCTGACGGACTCCAGAGAAGGAATCGAAATGTCAAACTTGTGTCCGACTGTTTTCTCTGACTTCATCCTTTATGATGTTCCCCCTCCCCCATTTTTGTTTTGTTGCATGTGCAGTTTTCTAACACGCAGTCGAGGTAACGCGCACTCTAGCAGCTCATCCATCTGCAGCGTTAACTCACTGTGAGTTATAACCTCTCTGTTACAATTTTAAATCCTTCCATCACCTTTCTCTCGCCGCTCTTCTTCTGCTGCTGCCAAACCCCCCCCCCGTCATCATCGTACCACTCCTCTGTGTGAATTGTCCGAAATGATCATGACAGTTCCTCGGACCGTCTCATCGAGCTGCATGTTTGTTCCAGTATTTCTGTTCCTGTGTTTTGATTTCAAATGTTTTCACTGTGATCAATTCGTACCATGAGTGTTTGTATCTGTGATTTTCTGACCATCTGTGATCCACAACCTTCTGTCAGAGAATGATTTGTGTTCAGTAACTGCACCTTCTCCTCAGATAACATGTTTCATACTGTATTTGAACTGAATGTATATCTGCAGCTGTGATTCGTTTCTTCAGAAGCCCTGAGAGTTAAAAAAAAAAAAAAAAAAAAAGCTAAAAATGTCTGCTGATCCATTTTCTATGTCTGATTAAAACGCTTTCTCTCCTGTGATCAGGCCGGAAAATCCCCCCTTTGTATTCTAAAAAAATATTCTTCTTTTTTATTTGATGGAAAAGTTTTTGGTAACCAGTTGTAAACAAAATAAATATTTTTCTTTAATTATATTAAATATTCTTCTTTATTTGTTTTACAATGTCACATATTGAGACATTTGATTTAGCACTTCAACCTCTTGTTGCCTTAGTCATTAGTACAAGTTAGAATAACATAAATATGATCCAGTTGAAGGCCAAAAATCTATGAAGTTAAATTAAAAATGCTAAAGTGTTATTAAGTCAGAAACACAATAGAGACAACACAACTTCCATCAGACCTAGAAATGGGATGGTAATCTTTTTATCTCACTCGGCTCTCAGGGCTTCCGTAATTTTCCGAATCTGATTTTAAACCTTTGTTGTATCATAACTGCCTAATAGTTTGACATGTGTAAAGTCTGATATAGATTCATGTTGTCAGAAGAAACCACTGGGTGTAGAGCTGAGAGCAACAGACAGAGTAGAGAGTCGAACGTATTTTAAAACAAACACATTACTGGTTTTGTTCTTGTTATTGACTTTTGTTATAAGTAAGAAACATAGAGAATAATGCAATCAGTGTTTCAAAATGTCATTCATTTATTGTGAAAATCTTTCATACAAGAAAAACCACACAAAAAGAAGTCATTTCTCATCAAAGCCATACGACTCCATTAACAAAAACTGTGATCTTTGAGCATGGGGATTCGCTGGACAACCATTGTCTCAATCTTACCTAAATAATCTTACCTCTGCAGCATTGGTCAATGTTTTTGTGTGAAAGGAGTCTGGTGGCTTTGACAACAACCATGCAATAACTGTTTCCATTATAACTAACTCTCTCTCAAAAAGGATCTCTCTGTAGGGATCATTTTTGCCATGATATTAGACTCTAAGAATAACAATCTGAGCCTGTCAGAGACTAAAACAAACCTATTTTACCTGTAAAGTGTCAAATACTAGAGAAACTCCCATGTGACACTAAGACAACCAAATGCTAACCAGAGTTAGCTTATTGCTACTGTTACTACCTCTTCTGTATTATGCAGGTTTGTTGTCAGCAGGCATGAGAGGGTTTATCTATAAAAGGTCTCAAATCAGATCTTACCAACACTCTCCAGCTAGAAATCATTTAAAGGCACATTTCTGCTCTAACTGCTGCAAGATAGGAAGAGAGGTTTTTTTCAGTTCAGTTTAGTTTATTAGTTTATTTGAATCAGGGACGGTGTACAAAATAGTTTTAGTCTCAGTAGAGAAAATATGCTTTGTACCAGATTAAGCTAGTTTCCATTTGTAGTCCCTGGGCAGATGATGGCAACAGTAAAATACATAAAAACATTGGCATAAAAATGTATTTTCCTGTTTTTGAATGAAGTTCGAATACCAGGAATATAAAAACATCATCATAGCTCACCTGAGATTAAAAGTCTGTTTGAAGATGCAGTTTTTACACTCTACACTGAGGCCAAGGTTAAAAACAGGATCAATAATAATGTTTGCTGTAGTGCTGCTGCTCCACACTGGATGGATGCTCTGAATATAGAATGAAGTATCAGATTCACACAGCACATAAACCGTTAAGAAGAAGCAAACGCAGAGGATGTAGTAATGTCTAACTGTGCTTCTCTGGGTAGTATGAGTGAGATGTCTCAGTGTGGGAAAGCTAAAGATCATGATCGTGTTATCGGGTTTCAGTATTTGAACCCATCATTTCTCTTCTTTATCTCAGCAAACACACTTTGATTTTGTCTTTATTATATTTTGGCTTCCCTACTTTACATGCTCCCCCCCAAGCGTTGGTTTCATGAAGCTTTTTTGCCACCTCCGTGCTTCTGTCTGTAACAAGTTTCTGTCCTTTTTGAATTTCCTTCTCTCTTTCTGTTTGTTTCAATGTTGCTTCCTTTATGTGTTTGTAGGAGTTATGTCTGCACCCCCGTCCATCACTACCTGAGGTAAACCCAACCGCCTTATAGCAAGGTGGTCATATCTGTAATGAAACATACACTATCATGTTCCTCCATAGAGACATTTTCAACCATGTTACTAAGCTTTTCTCCTCATTCAACAATCCGGTGTCATGTCTTCTTTCCACCTTTAAGTCAGAGTTTGTAAAGAGAGTAGTGCAGTACATGTATGTGTGTTGTACATTTGTATCATATAAACAGTGCAAGCTGCAGGATAGAGGAGCTATGAGAACATTAAAAATAAATTTGACAACTTCCTTCTCCATATTAATTCTGCATTAAGACTTGGCATTGTAACAAGAGTCTGACACGTGGAATTTGTGAGACTGATGCCAATTTTAGAGGGAAAAGAAAGTTCACCAGCTACTGATATGGCAGCTTGTACAGAGAATATTTTAGCAGGAAGGAAAACAGACCTTTTTTTAAATTGTTTTATGCACAGATTTTGCACCAATATGACTTTGTAAAGACACTAAGGAGGTTACTTTCTGAAAAGTATCACCTCCTAAAAATGTGAAAATTAGATACATTGTCAAGCAACTTTAGTGTGGTTTCACCTTCTCAGCTCAGCTATGATGTTCTGCTACATGTGATGCCGCCATTTTTAAATCACCCAAAACAATGTTTTCTGCACTGTGTCTCTAAAAGAAGTTTACATATCAACCCATGTCAGAAAAACCACCACACCTACATCTTATTATCTTGAATGGGTATAACTGCCTGATAAAATGAGTCAGGCTCTTACATTTAATTTCCCTTGATTAAATCATCGGAGGAGTTAGCACTGTTTAAGATCAGTTTCAAATCTGCATGCATCCTGCCTTTTTAAAGAGCTGTATAACAGACAGATACTGACAGACTAAACAACATGTCTAAGCATGGTGATGTTTGGCCATGCTTTGTGTTTGCTCGTCCATATTCATGGATGAGCTCTCTCTACAGCAGACTGTGATAAATGGACCCAGTGTCAAAGTATGACCAAACTCCCTCATCGCAGCTCGGTCATACTGTAAATCATTCAGCATGTAGGGACCTAGTGCCATCATGAGATGTAGAGTGAGATGTACAGCCAGTTTTATGTGCATGAAGTGAGAAGTACATACATTCTGAATGTGTCACACCTCAGAGGAAACCATGCATCCATCGGAAATGCTTCTGTCCCCGTGTGAAAGTTACAGGATTGATGAGAATAATTTATACAAAGATTTGCACTGTATCTTATACAGTTAGATCAATCTCAGTGCTTTTGATTTTTTTTTCTTCTGCTTCCTCCTCCCGCAGTAAGGAGCAGCAGAAGTCGATGAAGACGATGTCGGTGTGGGAGCAGAGGGCCAACCAGCTGAGGAGGCAGAACCAGGCGAGCTGTGAGGCGCTCTACAGCGAGCTGGAGCCTGAGGAGCGTCTCCGCCGGTCCTCCGCCCTCAACATCCGGCCAGACATGAAGACCCACCTGGACCGCCCGCTGGTTGTTGAACCTCTCGACGGGCCTTTGGTGGGGGGCCACCAGCACCACCATCACAAACCGGGCATGCCGGAAGACGCCGAGAATGCTGCTGATCCTCCTCCTCCTCCTGCTGTGCACCACCAGTCTCGCCGCCACCACCGCCACAGAGACCGGGCCAGAAGGAGAGAGGAAGCCAACGAAAACGGGGACACCGGTAAGGACGGGGGGCACCACGTCCATCACAGCCGCTCCAAAGACCACGAGTGTAGCAGAGGCAAAGAGGGGAAGAGCGAGAGGTCCCACAGCCGAGAGGGAGGCAGAAAGCATCACCATCAGAGCTCGATGGACGACAGCGGAGGAGGAGGAGGTGAGAGGGAGCACCGTCATCATCACTCGCACCGTCAGGCCAAAGGGGGCAACGGGACTGTGAACGGTGGAGGGAGGGGGGAGCGCAGATCGAGACACAAAGACGGACGCTCGTGTAACAGGGATGGGGATAAGAATCCCCGGGCAGAGAACGGAGAGAGGAGGAGACATCGGACTCATGGATCCAGAGGTCAGTCCACAGCTGAAGGAGAGGAGTCCAACGAGAGAGAGAAGAACCACACTCACAGGTGAGAGTCAGAACTACTGATCTTATCGAAACAGCAACTATGAGTCAAGGAAAGGTAAAGTGGTTTGGTTTTATAGCCAGTTTTCCATGTCTCTTTAACAGCATTAGGCAGTCTGATCATATTAGGTCAAGGACTTGCACATTGTATTCAAATAAAACTGTAATTACCCAGTCTGATATCAATTTAGCCTCTTGGACAGAGTTGAGCTCCATGAATGGAGTTGGAGTTGAGTATTAAGTCAATGTATTTCATAGGTGTACAGCCAGACCCAGAGATCACAACCCTACTGTCCAAAAAAAAATGGTTGTCTAATGATACCACAAAAATGTGCCCAGCTTCCTGTCTCACTGCTTTTCATTATGATGCATTTGTGCAGACATTGGGTAGTAGTGAGTTTGTCAAATGCCAAAGTCACACAAAACGAATTAAAAACAAGCAACTCCCCTTTCCTTCAAAACATTAGTTTAGAAAAAAAATTTGACTGTTGTCAATGCAGTCTAGTGGCAAGAAAATAATGTAATGGTTATTTTTTTTATCTCTTTACAGACATTACAACATTAAGATAAAAATATGAACCTGTCAAAACATCAGCATTTTTATTAACCATATTTTAATGAGGACATTTGCACCCAAAGGCTACATGTTTCCAAGACTTTAACTTCAGGCGGTCCACTGGAGCAATCCTGAACACTTTGCATTAAAAGTCCAACATTTGTTAAATGGAGGTCAGATTTACAAATAGAATAAATCCACCTTTAACCAAAAAAGGGAGATGAACCCATCAGTAATCACGCCATGGGACATAAATCACCCACAGAAAAGATACATAATGAGTCATTCTCCCACATGTCTACAACTTTTTATACTTCTAATAACTTTATGTATCTGTTAGGAACTTCAGTTGGGTAAAAAATATCAGTGTGTATACAGTACAGTTAACATGAATGAGATTGCAAACAAAAGTGAACACACTGCTATTATAAGCTATTCGTTTGTTTTTTTAACATCTTCTGTGTATTTTTGTTTTAGTGAATATATTCCATATAAATTGAAGGAATATAACAAATATAAAGAACCAGAATCCAAGTTGTTAATCACAGAGAACTTTTAAGGTCACATTTTACAATTCTTTTCAACAAGTTAAAATAAGTCTCAGTGCTCCCCAAACATGTCTGTGAAGTTTCTTGTTATTACTCCACTACTGATCCTGTATTTGATCATGACTATAAACCCCTCTATTCCATCCCAGCTTAGAACAGGCTGTTTCTGTGTCTGTACCTTTAAATATGTAAATGAGCTGTGTCTGACCACGCCCCCTCTCTGGAAGGGCTTGGGTGGCTTGGACTTTCTTGCACCATGCCTAATTGTTTACAGTGAGAAGGCAGACTCAGAGGGCAGAACAAACACCTAGCTGTGGGAGTGTCACCCACCTGGGGGAGGGGTTACTGCCCTTTTTGAGCACACATTTTCTGAAAAGTGGAGCGGGCAGAAGACGGAAAGAAGACAGACTTTTCTCATAATTGGGGGGTTTGTAGACAGACTAGGGACACATATTAGTGTTAGGAAAACATGGTGAAGGGGATTTTGCAGAATATGTGACCTTTAAAATAGCAACCGTGTATTTGGAAGACTTTCCTAAAACTGCAAGTCAATGTATCATATCAAATGTAATCCTCTAAAACTTAGCCTAAACAATGAATGAAAAAATAGAATGGGTGACCCATCAACTAAATCACTGACTGTGTCATGAAGCACAGTCCCTGTTGAGATTATCTGATAATGTGTGAACATTAATGTCTGAGCTCCTATCTCTGCTCTGTGGACAGGTTTGGAGACTCAGAGGGGGAGTCCCTCACCATCTCCCCCCAGCAGGGCTCTGATGGGACCAACCAGCCTCCTGACCAACCAGAGGACTCAGACAACCAGAAGAATGTCAGACGGACTGGACAATCCTCCATCCACATCCCTCCTGTCACCATCACCTCCCCACCTGGAGAGACAACCGTCATACAAAGTCAGTACCAGCCCAGGCCTCCAAAAACTCACACATCCTGTTGCTCTCACTACATCATGGCAGCCGCTGCAATGAGGAGCAAATTCACAAAGAAAAATGTCAAAAATGTAAAAAAGCAAATTGTGCGAATGATATTGAAGCTCAAACACTACCTGAACGCTCTGCAGATTCCTGCAGCGGACTTTTGTTATGCGACTGATTGTGGAGAGGAGCTTATACTCAGCGCTCTCATTCAGATGGAACTCAATTATGTCCACATATAAATAAAAATGCATTCAAGTTTTAGTTTTCTTCTGAGCTCCAAGGTTATTTTTTCATTTGTTTTCATTGAGGAGAGAGCGTTTGCAGCAGCAGGTGGCCAACCCGAAGCGTCTTTTCTTCGAGTCCTTGAGGCCACCTTTTTTGTGTGGCTGCTCAGAGCACTTCGAGTTGAAAATCCTTCAACCGTACAGAAAGGCGCTGTAGACATCACTGCCACTCTTTTCGACCTATATATTATATTCCCCATATTTTTGTCACCTATCGGATCGTGCCCTGCATCCACATCCTCCTTGCTCTGTGTCCAGAAAAAGTAGTAGGGTTTTATATGTATGAAGATGATGCTCATTTGCACAGAAAAGGGCCAAATTTGCTCCAAATGTGTGCAGAGCGACCGATTGAAATACCTGCAAACTGAGGTTTGGGAACCATTTTACCCTTGCTTTTGTTTTGAGAAATAGAGAGACTCTTCTGCAAGCCTTTTATGAATTTGATGATGCATTTCCTTTATTACTGTCTCTCACTCATTAACAAGGTACAGAAGGTTTGAGGAAAAAGAACATTATAATTCACAGGAAAAATAACACATACAGTTCATTCTTCTGTGTGTACCCCTTATAAGTAAAATGAGAGGGATAGGGTGTTGTTATAGATGCTGGATTTGTTAAAGACAGATTGAATAAACATCATTATTGTTGTCTCTGTCTCTCCAGTGAACAGTATGGACTGTGAGACGATGCCTATGACTGAGAGGAACGTGGAGGATCAAGGTCCAAGTGGACCAAAACCCATCCTGCCTTACAGCTCCATGTTTGTCTTTGGACAGACCAACCCGTAAGTCACCCTAACCTCCTTTATCCACCTCTTCACCTCCTGAATAACATCCACCATGATGCTATCAAAGTCAGACCATGGGGAGATAGATTCTCTGTTCATTTATTTCTGTAAACGACCATGACACACAGCCCTTCACCAGAGTATAGTGAGGTCCTCTTTGGTAGACAGTAGTTTTACCTGGCCTATACGGCATGCATAAGCAGGAAAACTTCTAGTTTAGGTTGTTGTCCTCTACTGATATCTGATAAGATAACTTTTTTTAGTGCCAGAGCACTGAACAGTGCAAGGACCCATTGCTAGCCAAAGGATTTTTTTTTGCCTATTTCCTGTCTTTTTCAATTTCTAAGCATACCCTAAAACTCATCATACTTGGCATGTGTGTTAGACACAGTGAAAATGTTGATATTTTATCGGTCTCAAATATTGGTGGGTCATATTAACTCGATAACACGCCCTAACAATTTTCAATAAAGCAGCCCCGGAACAAGTTTCACATACCATAGTTAAATGAAATTCAGTACATGTCTGACATGCAGAGATAAAAAAGTATCTTATTGTAATGATAAAATCCAACCAAAAAATCCACCATTTTGAACAAAGTAGCAAAAAGTATGTTATGGGCCATTTCTATTTAGGATGAACTCCTCTTAGGGCCGTCATCTGATCCAACAAAAAATTGGTTTACACCAAGAAGAGAAAGAGAGTGAATAGATAGATTGTATAGAAAAGATCTCAAGGGTGCATGTACAACACTCAAAGGGCGTTGCCATGGCGGCTCGCCAATTTTGATGTCTTGCCGTGATACAGGAAGCTGCTCTTACTCAAAGCTATTTGCTTCCAAATAGAATCAAAGTTAACATGTTTGAAGAAAGTCCCCCTTTACACATATCTAAATGATAGTCCTGCAATTTTTCTATAGCGCCACCTACTGGTAAGACACAGTGGGACCTTGTGGGACATGACTTTGTTGCAGCACACTTTGCGGATGAGCCACACCCCAGCATGTGTGAAGGTGTGAGGACCCGTTCAGTGCTGCATGCAGCCCTGATTATATCTTATTTGATTTGATCATTTGTGTCTAAAGCATTTATTCATACCTGTATAGTAACATATGTTTCATACAGCAGCCTCTGGTAAGCATTTTCATTTGATACATTTCTTCTCTGGCCTGCATTTAAGGGTGAATTCATCTATTTCTACATTCAGGCCCTACTTTTTTTGGATATGTTGCTCATCTAAATGACTAATGGGTACAAATCGATTTGGCATTGCAATGAGACAGGTGTATTTGTTCATTAAAAATATCATTATACTGTAGCAAAAATGCCTATCTCTGTCTGGATCCTTTCTTTAATGTTTTCAGACACTTATAATAACAATCTGAGACACAATGAGCACTTTAATTGCTTTACATTTGATTCGACTCATTTGCTGTTTGATGATGTTGGAGTAATGACAACCTATTTTTTTTAGCTGTCAGCTGAAGAAAGAAACTGAAGCAACTCCTAAACCTTTTCGTACCCAGCAGTCATTTAGATGCCAAAGTCTATTAAAAAAGAGCCCGGGTTTATAAATACTAGAATTCCCCTTTATATATCCATCCATCCGTTATCTGTACTGCTTTTTCCCAATTGGGGATCGTGGCTGGAGCTGATCCCAGCTGTCATTGGATGAGAGGCAGGGTTACACCCTGGACTGTACGCCAGTCAATCACAGAGCTGACATGTAGAGACAGACAACAAGCCACACTCACATTCACACCTACGGGCAATTTAGAGTCACCAGGTAACCTAATGAGCATGTGTTTGGACTGGGAGGAAGCCAGAGTACCCTGAGAGAACCCAACCACACACAGGAAGAACATGCAAACTCCACACAGAGAGGCTCTGCCTGACGGGGATTCGACCCATACTACACCACCATGCAGCACCCCTTTATATGTGTGTGTGTGTGTGTGTGTGTGTGTGTGTGTGTGTGTGTGTATATATATATATATATATATATATATATATATTTATATATATATATTCCAGACCTATAGGTCCATATGATCCTCCTTAAATGATATCTCTGAATATTGCCCACGTCCTGGTTTTTCTTCATTTGACTCGGTTTACGCCGCATCATGTTTTTTTTAAAATATAATAACTTGTGTCCCTTTTCCCTACATTTTATTGTCTAAATAATGTTTTACCAGCACCACTTCAAAGTTATAGATCCTCAGGAACAAAACCATTATGCTCCACATCCACAGTGACTGAAAAACGGTGAATAAATCAATACAGAAACACATACATGATATGAACTCAAGCCTCTCCATGTCCTGTGGATGCAGACAATAAAGCTATACTTTGAATTGTACTTCTGGAAAAAAAAATGAACTGCATTTCCCCTGTGTATTTGTATGAAAATAAAAGATGTGCTCTAGCTGCTTTAATTCTAAGCTTTAAGATTTGTCTCACATGAAGATGAAGTGAAGAGAGAGCCTGTTTTTATTTTGGACTTTTCTTTAGCTGTTTCAGGATATAAAAATAACAAGGAGAGAGAGGTGCTAAAAGTCATTCCGTGTTCTGTTTGTCTCCTCAGGGTGAGGCGTCTATGTCACTACATAGTGACTCTGCGTTATTTTGAGATGTCCATCCTGGTCGTCATTGCAATGAGCAGCATCGCTCTGGCAGCAGAGGACCCTGTGTGGACCAACGCCCCTCGCAACAATGTGAGATAACACTGCACATTTATATAGATAATAGACTGAGTATAACACTGCTTTAACTCTTCTTTTACACTGAATTATTTGTACTTACTGTGGAGTTAATTATCTTAATAAACTTGTTCAGTGCTAAAACATTAAGGGTTAATCCTTTTTTTCTGGGCCCTAGTTTTAAACATTTTGGGGCATAAATAACAAGATTTAAAAATTACTGGAATACACTGATTCATTTCCTTATATGAGTATACTTATTATCATGTAGGGAACACAAACCTTCATAATGATTTGATACAGATGATACATTTCTGATTTTGTCTGATTTTGTTTTTGCAGGTGCTCAAATATCTGGATTATGCCTTCACTGGTGTTTTCACTTTTGAAATGGTGATCAAGGTAAGCATGAAGATGAACTCATCGATCCATTAACTTCACAGATCTGTTTATTTATGGAAATTATTTCACACTTAAGACACTTAGACCTCAAGACATCCTGAGCTTTCACTTTTCATTCTTTGAGTGATACCTTTGTATTTGTAAAAGCTGAGACTCTGTTTCCCGGTCCATCGCAGTATGATCAGGGTAGAACGCTCTGTTACTAACCCTCCTTTTTTATCCCCCTCCCCTTTAGAACCCTTTGTAATTCTAGGCAAATGTTCACAGATTTATAATTATGATGAGACCTATTTGTGTTGAGATATATAGAGCAGGACCCAACAGGTGGCCCAGCAGACAGGGTAAAGGGAAAAACGAGATTCATTACAAAAAAAATACTGATGAGCTGCACTGAAGACTTGATTATACTGCGGCATTAGGGAGGGAGGATGAGCAGAGTGGCTTGCTGCTCAGGTGGAAAGAGGTTGGGTGGTGTGGCTGAGGCGCAAGAGCCCGGAGGTGGAAGACACTGGAAGGGAAAAAAAAAACACAAAAACAAATTAGTAAAAGGAAAATATAAAGAGTTGCACAAAAAATTAACATGATAAAGAAATCCCAGGAGTTGAGTCAACAAATAACACATGAAGAGCTGAAGCTGTCTAGCACCATTGGGAGACTTCCAGCAGGGTTCACCACTGATGAGGGTGAAACGAGGAGCAGGTGTATGTGTGTGTAGCAGGAGCTCCAGCACCAGGAAGCCACGCCCAGACCCTGAAAACAGGGGAGAGCCACAACAGCTGCACAGGGGGAAAAACCTTTCATACAAATATTTACTTTCAAAATAAAAGCACTGGGGCACTGGTGGCTCAGTGGTTAGTGTGGCCCAGGCTCGAGACCAACCTGTGGCTCCTTTTCCGCATGTCATTCCCCACTCTCTCTCTCTCGCCCTGATTTCTGACTCTGTCCACTGTCCTATCTACTAACTATAATAAAGGACCAAAACGCCCAAAAAAAAATCTTTAAAAAAAATAAAAAAATAAAAGCACTAATGAGTTATCAAATATCAAAAAGATAAATGATCTCTCAGTAGAGGCTAAATTCCCCAAAAAACGTAGAAAAGACTAAGTTTATTTCAAATGAATTAAAAAGGACAGTAGATGAATGACATGAAAAAACCTAACTGAGGTGTGTTCTGTTCAGATGGTGGACCTAGGCCTGCTGCTTCATCCTGGAGCTTACTTCAGAGACCTGTGGAACATCCTGGACTTCATAGTGGTCAGTGGGGCGCTGGTGGCTTTTGCATTTTCGTAAGTGCGATAACTCCTTCTCTTATAAAATGTCTTTAGTTTGTAAAGAGTTCACCCTGATGATGAGATTTGAGTGAATCCTCTGGTGGTAAGTGGCCTGATATAGAATGTCAGGGGCAATCCAAATCTACATAGTGCACCTTTTTGTGAACTTGTGACCTTTTTGAGTGACAAAACTTGGCTTGTCTGTCATTGATTTTTCCCCTTTGATACCAAAATAAGATGTTGACTCATTGACTGTTTGAAACTAAAAAGTCACACTTGTGTTAGGTTTGAGGGGAGACTGTAGTTTGGTCCTAAAATCATCATCTTTAGGACTACAAGATAAATACTAGAACCATTCTCTGACTAGAAATTTGTTGTTGGACATAATTTGTCCATCAAATTGTTGATATATTCCAGCATTACTCAGTTGTATGTTTATGGTCAGCGTGATGATTTATCAAAAGTCAGTTAGAAAGCTGTTTGTTTTTTAATGCAGGAAGTCCAGCTGTTGCAAGGAGCAAAAATCTTTGTGTATCAAATATTTAAAAAAAAATCAGATCTGAGTGAAGTTCAGATAGCCCACTAGTCATGGGCTCATCTGTAGGTTAAATCTTCATTTTGAGCTAAAGATTAAGTTATGAAACACATCTTAAGGTGTCCAAAAAGTGATGAAATGATCCATTGAGAGCTAAAGAGAACGCTCATAAGACACAACACACCACCCTGAGTGAAATACTGTCTCTTTTAAGGTGTTAAAATGATTAACTTAAAGGTGATTTAACAGCAACAGAAGATTTAAAAAACAATGTGGAAATGACATAACATGGTTATATTCTTCAAACACATAAGACTATCCCTGCGATTTGACCAATCCATCAGATGCTGAACTTAAGTGGATCCAGTGCTAAGTGAGTGCCCACTCTTTCAGAAGACTCATTAATAGATCCAGCCGAGGTTGTTTTGCTGAGCATGCATTATGCAAATGTAATCAGAGATCCACTGGGATGAGAGAGTTAGACCACAGTCTAATCAGGAAGGCTCTGCCTGTGTTCATAGAGATAGAGATATGGTACAAATCCATTAACATGCTGATTTTATAATGTAGTTTAATTTGTTATTTCTATAATTATCTTATCATAATTACTTGTTTCCCTTTTTATAGATTATTCTTGGATTTTTTCATGTTCTTTCAAATGTGAATAAATGATTTTCTCTGTGTGTAAGTGCACTAAAACTTCAATAACTCTCTGCTTGGTATACAAATGAGGGTTGTTACAAATCTAGCATCAAAACCTGAGTCCTCTACCTGACGAGAGGTGGAGCTGAAGTCCTGAACAAACCAAGGACTAATAAGGAGTGTGTTTGTTTGTCTGTGTGTGTTTGAACGCTGTGTTGTTGTTGTTGTTGTTGTTGTTGTTGTTGTTGTTGTTGTTGTTGTTGTTGTTGTTCAGTGTGTTTATTGACCTGATCCTCTCCCTGTCTCTGTGCCCGGATCGTTTTGAAGGAGCTTCATGGGGTAATGCCTCCTCTACCTCTCTCATCCTGCCTGTCTGTGTCATTATCTGTGTGTATGTATGTGACAGAGGAAACATACATGGCTTATACTGCAAAACCAAGTAATTTCCTCACATATTCAGTCTTACTTCTCGAACTGAGTCCAGGTGTACTTTAAAGAAGTGTCATATAGTGGAGATTGCAAGCTCATGTATTTTAAGAAATACTCTTTGTTTTAGTGAACTAGAAATTAATTATATTTTATAAAATTAAGGAATAGTCAACCAACAAAATTCTCTTTTGTCTAGTAGATAAGAAAACTCCAGACAGGCTCTAATTATTTAGAAGTTATAAAGAGGATCTCTTCAGAAATAGATTTTTTGTAGAGGAGGACATGGACATTACACAGCTGTAACATTAGTCTTTACACAGCCACAAGACTCCATTGATACAAACGGTAATGTACAGAAGCGGCAACCTCCGGTCTTGAAAAATGAAATCTTTAAGCTGGCTGCAGGAACATCAGAAGTCACATACACACAACAGGCAAAAAAGCTCTTTTTACAGAATAAATAAACATGTTTACAGCCTGTTACAAAAAACAAAATAGGTTGACTGACAGTTAGGTTGAGACAGCATTTCCAGCATGGTGGTTGCTGCCGATGAGCCTCCGGAGCCTCCTGCAGTAACAGATGGCTGACGTCACTCAGGCTTCATCCTTACAGTCTTTGAATGTACCTCGCACAACACATGAGTAGCTCGTCTACGTCCACCCTGATTGGTTAGTTTTTTCGGGATTCAAATATTGCTTTGGTGACTGAATTAACCATTTCAAACACCAAAGTCATACCATTTAGCAAAGACAAACACTGACTGTGGCCACAGGTAGCTGGGTTAACCTCTGGTAAAGTTATTGTTTTATATATGGAGTCTGGTGGCTTTGTAGACAGAGGTCACATGATTTTAATATTGAACAAAAAGGTCTTTCTCTGTAGGGATCCTAACTGTAATGTGAGACACATCTGAGCCAGTAAGAGAGGAAAAACAAAAACTTCTTGTGGACTTATTACCCAGAAATAAAGATTACATTGAAGCTATTAAAGCCCTCTTTATTGCTTGATGACGTAATCTACCAGAGTAAATACAGAACTTATACCTATTAATCATTAAGAAAACAACACGTGTAAACTAGGGTTCAGGTTTAAACTTACCTGAATAACCTGTCAGGATGTGTTTCTGCTTTAGACCACTGTAAGACTTGCAGTATATGAAGTGAAATTGCTTGTGAGAATGGGTTTTTATTTGCAGTGTGTACTTTGTTGCCTGAGACACACTCACATTTCGTGGTCCATCGAAGACCTACCTGTACTCCACCCTGCTGGTTCAGGATAAAGGTCCTTCCTTCATGCTTTCCTCTTCTCTCGAGGGGCATGTCACCTGCGTGTTCACCATCCTTATCTTCCTCCTAGCCTCTGAGGGGGCTCAGTGTTTTTTCATCAGCACTCTGCCCTGCCACATCTCTGCTTGGACTGCAATGATACCATCAATTTCACATTCTCTCTATTATCAATTCACCAGAGGCCCACTAATGTAACAAGCTGCTGCTGCTGCTGGAGGGCATGAGTGCGTCTCTGGGAATATTGATCTTCTCTGTGATCTTAGCATGCACATAAAGTAGACTGTGTGACAGGAATATTGTTAGCTATAGGTTTGTAATGACTGCACTATGACCGTGATGCAACATCATCTCCATTCATTTGTACTTTGTTCGACACTACACCACTTCACCTGTATTTATCAGACTTAGCAGCACAGTGCAGATGGGGATGGCTAGATATGGTTTGGTTTCACACCTATGCTGGATAGCATTCATAGCACACAGGACTTTTCAGTTAGTCTGAATTACATGGAGACTCAATGTTCAATATTGAATAGATAAATGAGACATTGTGGAATAATTCTGACTTGCTCACTAACTATTGAATCATAGGAGCACTCATGAAAGAATAGTTAAAATAAAGGAATAAAGGAGAACCGACCAAAGCCTGTTGATTGATAACTTAGCCATGCCCAAATTTTGTTTTTACATAAATCTCCAACAGCACACACATCTGAAAAGTTGAGTACTGGGTGCTGGACAAAAATCATCCAAAGAAAGAGGGGGACTAAGTCTGCCCACCAGAAGCTGCTCCAATTACATTTTAATGAGAATTATCACCACATTTAACGTTTCGGGCTCTCGCACTCCCTCATCAGACATGAACAAGTGATTAGACACACCTCCACATACCCCAGAGGTCACCTGACAGCTCATGTGATACAAAGCAAGGGACAATATTCAATATTAACTATGCAAGACATTCATAGTATATCTCCACAAGACCTATGCATAGACACTACAAATATACAAAAATACAATTACACATAACTCCAGCAGGAAACAGCCTGCAGTGACTTGAATTACATGACTGGAAACATCAGGAGAAACCGTCATAATGACATATAAGAGAGCGATATAATAGAGGCGGCTCTATAATATAGATCTAGTGATAGAGACAGCAATGTGTCGTACAAATCAAGAGATAAATGAATGAATATAAAACATAAGTACATACGCACAAGTTTAATTTCATAGAGTGAATTTAATAAAAGCTCGGACTTTTAATTGAAGTTTTAAGGTAGTTGAAAAAGTTTATTTTACTTAGATGTTTGTGAATGATTAACTATTACTTAATCACTCTTACTCTTACTAATAAATCATTTAATTTAGTGGCCGTGTGACATTTCAGTGTATTAATTATTGTAGATATCTGATTTATGATGTCTGATTTATACATTTTATATTGAACACTTTGGGTCCACGTCAATCTATACATTCATAATGTCCAAATATTCACATTTGTGACGCTTGACAGTTACGTCTGAAAAGTCCTGTTTGATAGGCAGCTGTTGTTCACGGACCATGCATGTCTCCAGAGATCATTCTGCCTGCAATCCACATGACTGACTGCCTGTGGCGAGGACAACAAACCATGGCGTCCCCATCACAGCCCAATCTGTCAGTCCGTCATCTCATCCACTAGAGCCACTCAAGTGTTGAGCCCAGTCTGCCGTGCATTTCCACATGATGCTACAAACTGTCTTTTATTGTCTGCCTCAGATGTTAGTGATAACCTGGTGTTCAGGGCTGGGAGGATGTTTTTTTATTGCTGTCATTAATAATATTTAATTATATATACATTAAGTGTTACTATTAAGAAATCTCCCAAGAGGCCATTTTTTAATGGCTTTTTATTTGATGTTTTAGATGAGATTTAGCAGCAAACAATTGATGAAAGTATGCAGTTTTAGGCTACCTCTTTACAGGAATATTCAGCATCCAATCACACCGTAATGTACTTTACCTGAATCTTTTCTTTATTGGGATGTATTCCCGTAGCTGTCTTCTACCAAAACATAGTTAATCTGCTCATTTATAGGAACTATGGTGATGTCTTTGATGCAAACATATGCTTTATTTTGTTTGTGTGTGTGAAGCATCCATAAATGTGCTGTACCTTGTTTTACCACTGTTTTCCCCCAAGTAGATCGCAACAAGGTGTGAACAGGTGGGGAACCTCTCTATGCCGCCCTGACTGCCATCCCCCCCTTGTACCCATATCTTACCCCATCCCACTCCACCCCCAAATCCAACCGTCTCTAACTACCATTCATCTTCTGCTTAGTTGAGCTCCATGAAGAACATGTTTTAATCTATCAAATGCCTTTTGAACTCAACAGTTACCTCTGAGTGACAGCTTTCTTTCTAAACATTCCTCTGCCTTATAAAACCCACTAATGGTTTTAGTGGTTTCATTCCAACATGCCTTGATATACTTTGGGGTAAAATGATTTTTCATTTTGACTTTTTTTTATCTCTCTCTGATCAAAACATCAGTAAACAAGTGAAGTTCTTTAAACGACCCCAACACTCATTGTGATCAAATCCAAAGTAATAAACCACCATTACAAAATAACACTTTGGTCTCAAAAAACTCTACTGATTGAATTTTGAAATGAAACATGTCATTTTCAGGTCAGTGTCTTTAAAAAAAAAGAAGTATTTTTCCTCGTGTTGGTCAATCTTTCTCAAAATATCCTCCGTGCAGTTATAGACTCAACAGATCATGGTGTACAAACAGCAAGTGCATGAAGCATGAAGTAACAGGCAGCTTGTAAATGGTTATTAGGACGGTGTATTAAAAGGTTATATACCGCTATATTTTTTAAACACAATAAAAATTTTGATAGATTTTTTTATCTGAGAAATATATATATATTTTTTTTAAGATTTGTTTTTGGGCTTTTGTGCCTTTAATGCAGAGATAGAACAGTGGATAGAGTCGGAAACCAGGGAGAGAGAGTGGGGAATGACATGCGGAAAGAGGCCACGGGTGGAGGCGAACCCGGGCCTCCCGCTCGAGACGACAGCCTCAATTCATGGGGCGGGCGCCCTAACCCTTGCGCCACCAGTGCGCCCCGAGAAATATGTAATCTTGTCTGAGATCACCTGCCTGTAGCTATGATATTATGACTAATTTAGTACTCACTGTCCATGTTTCTGGAAACCATAATGTTGAAGTTGAGCCATGTGTAGCCACGTGTGAAAACCTTAGCTACAGGCTACTTACTGCAGAGTGGTTCCAAGGAAATGGTGAATAGTTGTGGCCCCTGGCAGATATTTGTCTTATTTTCACCCCTGTATCAAGTCCAATCTCACTTCAGTATAATACATATCACAATCTGAGACATTGAGTAGTGGTATCTTGAGCCATTGGTTTCACCTTTACCAATAGTATCATCCTTAAATCAAGAACGGACACTAATTACAGTTTAGGCTAAGCATGGTGTACTTAAAAATAAACCTGCATTTACCTCATGGATCTATGGTTTACCATTGATTGAATCAGTGTAACAGCCCATTGAATCGTCACACCATCCCAACTTTTCTTGGGAACGCACACTGCTAGGTCTGACCCTAGTTAGTTGATGTTCTGAATGATCCTTCAACTTGCTTCTGTTCCTCAAATTTGGTATTGGCATTTGGTTTTTGAGCTGCGTCATTGTACACAGCAATGTTGAAGATACAGCATAGCAGGCTAGAAACGCTATAAATGGGGTCTCAGAATGACCATTGAGCATTCACTGTGCACAAGGTTTTATCCCAGGTGCAAAATATCTGCAGACTCCATTTTTAAAAATGAGCGGTTTGACATACTCAGGGTCTCTTAAACATGGCTTCGGGTCTGCATGACAAGCAACCTCAGACCTGCAACCTCTTGCAAATGATATCGTTAAATATGACTGTAAAAATACTTGACTGGACTATAAGTCAACTGAAAAAGATTCTGTGTTGGATACAGCCTTCACAGTAAGACTTCTGTTCTGCCACTTCCATGAGACAACGAAGAGACTTGGCAGCCAAAACAGCCTGATAATGTTCAAATCCTTCGACAGGGTGAATGTCTTTCACACCTGGAAACTTGCAGATGAAGACTTTCTTTTTCTTAGACTTATGCTGGGGATACCGACAAGGCTTCTCCTGAGTCTCACAAAGGCCTTTCTTTGATATATGAACTCTGCCTCCGCCACCGAGGACACATAGGTTTGATTCAGAGTGTCCCTGACTTCCCCTCTCGAGGCCTGGCATTATCCAGATTAAGGGTTTGCAGTTCTCCGGTCCTCATGAACAAAAAAATTGACTTTCTCAGACAATGATGTCTTACATCTGGCTTGGGAACACCTCAGGATCCCTCCTGGAGGAGCTGACACACATTGCTATTAAAACGAAGGTCTAGACTATATTGCAGAACGTGCTGGCACCACGACCGTCTGGGCAAAAGGCTGAATAAAAGGAATGGATGGAAATTAAGCACTTTTTGTTTCACCAGATATGTCAATACTAAATCCCACTGGCAAAACTTCTGTCATATTGAGGCAGAGGCTCAAACAAAACCCTATTTCCTCTTTATTAACACAGTAAATCCTAGTTGATTGCTACACTGGTATGAATAATCTCATAAACTCATTGAAAGACATAAAGCATCTTATAGATGCTGTGCAGCTTTATTCTGCTAGTTTGATCTCATTGGCTTCATGTTTGTGTAATTTTATGACACTGTCGAAGATTTCAAAATAATGTTCTGCACAGTAGCTGAGATAAATAGACCGAGGGTTTGTAGCCGATATAGTTACAAGAAAAGACATTTTTAATCTCGGTATACAATGTACAGGCAGCTACAGGTGATTCTCCTTTCACACCTTTAAACAGAATCTACAAAGTTTAACTTTAGCCTTTCCTTTCCTTATTATCTTCAGAACTCCTTGAAGTGCTTCTTCAGCAAAGTCCTATCAACGGCTGAACGCATTAACATTTTCGACTCTCTTGGGGATTTTGAAGAACACTTGATATGCCTGAGGATTTGTGGCTTATCCTTCCTCTGTGACCAGGATTTTCAGTCTTATCGTCATTTTGCTTTTGAGCCATTCTGCTCTTCATCCCACGTCTTCTCCACCTGCTCTATAGCTATACTTACAAGCCTTTTTAGATAGGACATCTGAAGAGAGACAGGACATGTTGGGAGGAGAGAGTCGGGGTTGTAATGCAGCAAAGGGCTGAGGTCAGATTCAAATCCACGGTTGCTGTGCTGAGGACAAAAGCCATCAGTATCCTATCCAACAAAGTGTAATGTTAAAAGGTTTTTAGAAGACGCTGCGCATCTGCTCAGGTGTTTCAAAAGCACTTTTTGGAGTGCATTCCGTTACAGCGCCGTAACAAAGGACTTGTGTCATTACACCTTAAGACATTCATATTGATTCCACAATGGCAAAATTAGAATCCCAGTCTGTGAATTCACTTTGCCTTACTGCATAGCAGAAGTATGAGAGAGCACCGCACAGTGGGAGCGCCACATAAACATATAGATACACAATTATTTAAATTGTGTATGTATTACAAAAAAAAAACAATAAGTGGCTTTAAGTATTCTATTCTGCTGTAAGGACTGTAGCTCTGCTTAGCACCTGAAGCTCAGGTTTCTGTTCTGCTGATAGACAAAGAAAAGTCCTGTCATTGTTAACCAACCTACATTTACTGAGGAGCATTCATCATCATCATGCATGAAGTAGAAACCTTAGAAAACAATGATGCATTAACCAAACTGACCTAAAACACATCAGACTCAATCCTCCACATTACATTTGAAAAGTTCTTACTGTGAATATTTGATAAATAACATGTACTGTGTATTTGAAGTTTTAGAGTTGTGGAACTAGATCTGATCAAGTTCCTGTTGTTATTAGATAACTGTATGTGTTTGTGTATGTTCTCTAACTGTGTCTGCTCTCCACAGGGGGACCAAAGGCAAAGACATCAGCACCATCAAGTCTCTGAGGGTTCTCCGTGTCCTCCGGCCTCTCAAGACCATCAAACGTCTGCCCAAACTCAAGGTTCAGCTCCAGTGCTGCTCTCTGGTTTTATATGGTTTCATTGAGCAGGGCATTCATAGGAGTGTGTACACTTTGATAATACACAGACTATTTAGTCATAAGTAGAATATATCTGTTATGAGTTAGGGTCTTTTAATGAGATTCACTGACAAGAACAAGAAAACCACCATTTTACAGCTTTAAATCTCAGAGGCTTACCTAACAAGAAACAGGATTCAAATGCAATGTAATCAGGTACCAATTAAACAATACAGGCAGGGAAAAACTAATGGTGAAGTCAATATACAAGCCAGAGTGTTGGCTGTGGCTCAGTGGTAGAGTGGTTTGGGTTTTGATCCCCAGCTCCTGCAGCCACATGTCCGATGTGTCCTAGGGCAAGACACTTAGTTGCCCTCGCTGATTCGTTGGTGGCGTATAAATGTGTATGAATGGGATTAGTTTGTACTGATGGACACTTTACATAGCATCCTCTGCCATCAGTGTTTGGATGTGTAGGTGTGAGCTGTGGTGTAAAAGCGCTTTGAGTAGTTAGAAGACTAGAAAAGTGCTATACAAGCTCAAGTCCATTTACCATCATTTATTTAACGTCTTCATGATTTTCTCTTAATTTGTACAAAAAAGTGTCTTCTACTAAATATGGCATCTTACGTTTGTTGACACTGCTTGATACGTAGTACAGGCCTCTTAGGACGCTTAGAAATTGAGAAACTGAGTAACTGACTAATAATAAAGAAGCTGAGTTTCTGAGCTAAATTCTTGTACTGTACAATCGACAACATTGCTGCCTGCCCCACAAATAGTTTAAATGATATTACTTCAGGTCAGTAGTTATTTCTCAAAGTAATGGAGTCAAATTAAGGACTTTTCCAGAACGCAAATTAAAATAAGCTTTTGTAAAAGCAGAAATGTTTCTTTTCCCCTGACTACTGAACACAAAAATATGGTAATTAAGTTTCCTCAAGTTTATTTCTATCCAGTGTGAATTGTTGAAAATGAAAACCATACAAACTTGAATTATCATCCCTGTGCCACACAAATTACTAATTAAGTAATGATGCATCAAACTGTCTGGACCCAACAGCAGGACAAACCACTGGGTATTCTCTCAGTATTCCCAGTGGCCAGACTGGGCCTTCAGGTTGGTTATTTATAGAATCTGATCTATCTTTATTCAGATGAAGAGAACCATTATAAAGACAGTTCTTCATTGAAGAGTAAATGAACAAAAGTTTTTAACTATAAAAGAAAACAGTTTTAGCTTTCAAATGTAATGGTTTTTTCTCTGTCCTTAGGCCGTCTTCGACTGTGTGGTCAACTCTCTGAAGAACGTGCTGAACATCCTCATCGTCTACATCCTTTTCATGTTCATCTTCGCCGTCATCGCCGTTCAGCTCTTCAAGGGGAAGTTCTTCTACTGCACTGACGAGTCCAAGGGTCTGGAGAAGGACTGCAAGTTGGTCTAACAAAACACACCTTCTTATTCCTTGAAACCTTTGGTCCAAAACCAAAGTGCAGCATAGTGTCTAATCCCACTCAGCTTTGTGTACGCTTTCATGTCTTTCAGAGGACAGTTCCTAGACTATGACAAAGACGAGGTGGCGTCCATGCCCAGAGAGTGGAGGAAATATGAGTTCCATTATGACAACGTGCTGTGGGCCTTCCTGACGCTCTTCACCGTCTCCACCGGGGAGGGCTGGCCAACGTAAGTGCAGCTGACCTGATCGCTCTAAAAGTTACAGAAACATGTGATGCTGTCATGGTCGTGAATCTGAACACAACTGGACTTATTCTAGCAAAACTGTAACCTCAAACAGAGATGATTTTCTTTTTGTTTGTGATCATCGATTTATAAAGATACTTTATCTTTACTGCTGGCACGGCTGCAATCAGAGACTATCTTCAATTCAAATGTCCCTTACAGTAGAGATACTTACTGCCGTGGTTTAAAGCTTGTGAGCCCTCAGGGGCCCCCTACTGGTCTGGGGCCCCAAGCCACTGCCTGGCTTGCCTGTTGACAAACAGCGCCTCTGAATGCAGGTCACAGGCAATTGCAGCTCGAGCAAAGGACATTTTTTTCCACGGCTTGCTCTTAATGGTGTTTAATTATGGTGCATTCTAATTGATAACTTCTTTATGCGAACACTAGGGAGAGGGGTTGGAGGTGTGCCACTGGAGGAGAAAGGAGTCTTCATTATGGCAGAGGTGTCGCCAAACAGCAGTTTGTTTTGGTTTCATGCTGGTGATCAAGGGCGACATCTTCTGGATCAAAAAGTCTCTCATTCTTCCTTTACATGTAGGTCAGCAGTTCGGTGTAAAAGCTTACCAGCATTCAATTGATCAGCAGATACCGGCTACTGACATCAGTGCATGCCACATTATTTGCCAAAGGGCGGATCAGTCAACAGGGCCCAATATCGACAGATACCGATGTTAAAACAATGCATTGGTGCATCAAAACCTGACAGTTGATAATTTCTTACAGTGGACATCAGAATGTGGAAAATATGTTTAACTAAATAGTGCAATTAAACGAACCACATGATGGACAACAAAAAAATCCACAAAGCTCAGAAGGCTTTTTTCTGGTGTCAACATAGTAGGCTTATAAGTACAGTATATGCAACTAAATCAACCCCACCTCCTGGGTGAAAACGCATCATCTCCTACCTCAGACCACTTTATGCCTGTTAAATCTACATCATCTGACTTTGTTAATGCTAAAATGTTTGAGGCATGAAAGATCATTTTGACTGATATACTTGAGCTTCAGTTTGTGTTGACTGCTACTAGAAAAAAGCAGATTCCAGTCCATGTCCATGATTCTTTAAAATGTAATTTTCTGTGTATTTCACAAGCCGTCTTGGTATTTGTACGTGTCTGTGCTCTCCTTTCATTGTAGAGTTTTGAAGCACTCTGTGGACGCCACCTTTGAAGACAAGGGTCCCAGTCCAGGCTACCGGATAGAGATGTCAATCTTCTATGTGGTCTACTTTGTGGTCTTCCCTTTCTTCTTCGTCAACATCTTTGTCGCTCTGATCATCATCACCTTCCAGGAACAGGGAGACAAGGCGATGTCTGAGTGCAGCTTGGAAAAGAACGAGGTAACACCCACACATAACAGTCACTATCTTCTGCACAACGCTGCGTTTTGTGTGTTAAGTATTTTCAGATGGTGATCAAATCCTGTCGCGGATTACTTTTCATGGCTGCAGGAGACTGAAGAATTCATTTTCTTTGAAGCATAACCCATCACAAAATACGAGAAAAAATGTTCAAAAACTAATTAATGTCCTCTGATGCAGACTCTACTATTTTGAAAACTTATAAATAATGTTACTTCAGGCTGTGAGAGTTGTTTAAAAGCGTCACGGTGTTCTTAACTTGTTATCTTTTTTACTGCGGGACCACACAGTACCATACAGAATCGTGTTGTATCGTGTTGTGTTGTACCCTATCGTACAGTATCATATCATATCATAAAGTACAATACAGAACTCTATCTTATCGTACTCTACCGTATCGTACAGTACTGTACAATTCTGTATCGTATCACATCATTTCATATCATGTCATATTGTACAGCACTGTAATTAATCGTATTGTATTATATATCATATCATACCATAAAAGTATGCAATTATCTTATATTGTTTAAAAATATATTTTTAATTTTTTTTTAATGTAATTGACATGGCGCTGAAATGGCCTCCAATATATCTCTCCACTGATGTGATGGTTTAATCTTGAGGTCTGCTTTGGGCTTTAAAACCCTCAGAGTCCTTGTTTTTTCTTCTTAATCAATCAATGATCCCAAACACCTAGAATAAAATGTACAAGTATAATCAACAGTTATTATGAAGTTGTATTGTGTAGATTGGTCTGTCCGACACGTCAGCTGCTCCCACCTGTGTAGATTTGACATGATTATTTGCAAAAGTGTGCTGTCCTCTTCTAATGATGTTTCAGTTCCTTTCCAGTATTGAAGAGAGTCTATCAGAGTGTTTTTTTGCCTTGTTTCAGAGGGCTTGTATCGACTTTGCCATAAACGCCAAACCTCTGACGCGCTACATGCCCGAGAACACGCAGTCCTTCCAGTACAGGATGTGGAAGTTTGTAGTCTCACCTCCGTTTGAGTACTCCATCATGATCATGATCGCTCTCAACACTGTCGTCCTCATGATGAAGGTAAGAGCTATGGACAGGGTATTGTTATGTTTCTGTTTTGTTGGCCATTTACTCTTAGGAAGAAAGCAAATATTTGAATTACCACAAATTTTCAAACTTTAACAGTTTTTAAACGATGTTCAAACTTCCTGACATTGTTTTCCCCTGTCTTTCAGTTTCATGGAGCTCCAGACTTCTATGAAACGATGCTGAAAAACCTCAACATAGTCTTCACCACTCTCTTCTCTCTGGAGTGTATCCTCAAGATTATAGCTTTTGGTCCATTGGTGGGTAACATTTATATTTAAAACTTTCCTAAATATAAATAACATCTAATGATTTGACACTTTTGTGTCTCAGAACTACCTGAAGGACGCCTGGAACGTGTTTGACTTTGTGACTGTGTTGGGCAGCATCACTGACATCCTGGTGACTGAAATCAATGTAAGAGCACCCATCCCCACCCGCTCCACCCTCACCTCAACCAGACTGAGGGCATTGTATCCAAACAACACAGCTGTCATAGTAATGAGCAGGGGCAGGGACAGCGTGTACAGCAACGCTTTGTGCAAACAAGCTAACTAGCCACATCAGCATGGCAGCGGTCCAGAGAGCTGCAGACTTTAGACAAGGAGAAAGAGGAGAAGGAAGCAAGTATTTAGTTGAGTGGATCAATGAATCACAGAGGGCTGATACAGACACTTAGAGAGGGATGTGTGCTTCACGTTGGAGCAACACTGTGCGGTGCTTTTTTGTGTCATTTCAGACGGTTCCTCACCGTGCACTTACCCGTGTACATTTCTGTGAACTGGTTTTCATGTGTACTTGTTGAACTGTATCAGTTTATGTTGTGCAATATGACTGTTCCTGTTCTCTCACCTCTCAAATCTTCTGTCTTCTTGTCCTCCTTGCTCTACTTTCATTCTCTCTCTCTCTCTCTCTCTCTCTCTCTCTCTCTCTCTCTCTCTCTCTCTCTCTCTCTGTCTTTCTCTTGCCCTCCACATTTTCATCTTGTTGATTGTCATCTCTGGTGTTGCCATGCCCCGGTCGAAAAACATCACCAGACTACGGTGAGTGACTTTCTGTTGCCATTCTTTGCTGCTTTTTGCTCATCTAGGGCTGAATTTACAACTAACTATTTCAGCAGCTGTGACAAAAGTAGGGATGTCCCTTTGCAGACACATTTTAAAGTTGAATTCAAATTTAAATTTAAATTTTATTGACACGGCTTAACGTGGGATCACAGCGCATGCAGATAAACAATGTCAGATTGGTTGGCTAAGTTTGATTAACGTTAGCATTGCTAGCAACGCCAGCTTTTCTTCCTCCTTGCAGGGTAATGTCCACATGACTGTGCAGGTTCCACATTGCTCCTCTCAGTCAGTCTACCCTGACAAAGCCTACAAAAAACTTTATCTCCATTTTCTAAATCAGCATACTGCCAAACTACTGTGCTCCACAATGTGCCATCTCTGCTATACTGGTTTATATCCAGGTAGTAGAATTAAGAGAGCAGGCCCATTAACCAGAGCTACAGCCCCATGTAGTGATGGGTGTCTGCGTTACAGCGTGACACTAAATTGTTTAATCGACTCATTGCGTACATCCCTATACTGAAAACTGTTGAGTCATTTTGTGAATTCATCCCCGCTGTGTTTTATTTTATGTGTGAAATATTGATATTGATTGAATGCCGGTACAAGCATATAAGTATTGCACTTGCAAAAGGTTGTGTAATTTGTGAGATGTACTAGATGCCTTATATTGCACATTGTTGCTGCACAACTCTTAAAATGAATGCTTTCTTATTGGTACAAAAGCTGCAGAACCACAATTTGCATATATTTTTTCAATCAGGAGAAACGTGCTGCAATCACAGAAATTACTTAACCTAAAACATGTGCAAAAATGAAAAACAACAATGCAGAGATGCTGCAAAATTACAAATGTACAGGATTCCAAGATAACTTCAGAAAAATATCCAAACACTGAAAAAGATGTAAAAAAAAAAAAAAAAAATGCAAACTCAAAAAAACACAAACCAAGAATCCAGTCATATAAAAAAGCTGCATAATCTCTCATTACAATAGAAGTTCTCCGGGCCTCAAGGGGGAGCTCTTAGTGGAGCAGCTTGATTTTAAACCAGATAATTACCTGGCAACTGAATAGACCTGTAGCCACGACATCCAAGCATTCCCCTGAGCCAGCAAAGTGAGATTTTTACCAGTGCTGTCAGCCCTTCTTTTTTTATTGAATCATTACAGTTCAAATTGAAGGGCTATTATAACCACAGGGTGGAAATCATTTTCAAATGCCACCAGATGTTTATTAAATGTAGGGCTGCTTATTAAACACCTGGTGGCACTTATTTAAACGCAGGGGAATGGAGACATCGAGACCTGTTTTTCTTCGCTGTGAATTTTGGTTCTTCTGAATATTTTATGCACCTTTAGATTTAGCCGAAGGATTCTTTGTTGCATGCAGATCCAACAACCTGAAGCAGCTTTTAAAACATGGTATTGTGTTGAGTAGGAGGAGATGTTCTTTGGTTGGTTAGTGCTTGATGCCCCTGTCTTTGCCTAACAGGACCGACTGCTGAACCTGAGCTTCCTGAGGTTGTTCAGAGCCGCTCGGCTCATCAAGCTGCTGAGGCAGGGCTACACCATCCGCATCCTGCTGTGGACCTTCGTCCAGTCCTTTAAGGTGCTCACACACACGCTCACCTACATGTCCACACATGTATTTATTCTAGCAGCAACATTTGCAGTACTTTCACATACAGCCACACACCTGCAGACACCAACTTTAAGATCCTTGTTGGAATAATTCAGAGATGATTTTAATAATGTCATGTGTTACTGTTCCCTTCAGGCCCTGCCTTATGTCTGCCTGCTGATTGCTATGCTGTTCTTCATTTATGCCATCATTGGGATGCAGGTGAGTGATGCTGCTCTGATGCTGTTACAAAGACCAGGGATGTTCATGCATCCTGGGCTGTGGCCTGAACATGAAAAAAGGTTAACTGCACATTGTTGAAGAATTACAGATCTGTTTGCTTCTGTGTCTGTGCTGCAGGTGTTTGGCAACATTGAGCTGAATGAAGACACAGCAATCAATCACCACAACAACTTCCGCACTTTCCTCCAAGCTCTCATGCTGCTGTTCAGGTTAATGAAGCTTTATTATGTTTATCTAATGATCTCATTAGATCACTGTGACGGATGACTACAGACAGTTTTCAATAAAATCAAAACAATTATCACGTTACCCCCTTGGATATCTCTCTGGGATTTGAGCCCAGCAGGAATGGGACGATTGCTTTAAAACCATTGTGATGTTTAAATATCAAGTTAAAAACTGAGTGAACAGAGAAAGAAGTTACATGGTCATTTTTTATAAAACTAAAAAGCTGGGTATCGAGTCAGATGTAGTGTACTAAAGGTACGACTGTATCACTGTCACTTACCATCAAAGTCCATAATCTGCATATACAGCAGCATATCACAGAAATATTACAGACATATAAAGACTGAATAAGAATTCTAATCTTTTATTTAAATGCTCTATAATAGTCTAATATATAATTCTTCTGCAAAATCCCTGGAGTAAAAGAAAAAAGGATGAATTGAACTATCTTGTTGAGACTATTTTAGCTGTCATGCACTACTATTGAAGCATAAAGCATTACATACACACATATGCACTTCTGCATTTACAGATACTTCAAAATATAAATGTAATCATCTCCAGCATACTTTCATGTCATTAACTAAGGCACTCAATAAACAAACAAACGGGCAAAGTATTCAGATTGTCACTAAAGCAATGTGTGTTAAGCTAGCAAACACACAAAATAGCAATTAAAGTAACAAAAACTATAAAACAACATACAACGTACAGGACACACAGACACCTCTTCTGTTACTTTAGTCCATTAATTGAGTTGTAAATAGTCTGTGCATGCAGCTGTTCGTCTTTTTTCCTCCACTCTGCACTGTACTGATTTTAATATCCAGTGCCCACCCACCTCGAGTGTGTGCACCCGCTCCCTCTAACTCTTAGATGCGTGCAGCAAGTAGCCATTGTGGCCATCTGCAGCTGTCCGCCCAACTGTAATGCCTCTTCAAATCAACAAATCAAAGCTTTATTGTCTCCCTCCTTGTCTCTGTGTATCAGGAGTGCAACTGGCGAGGCCTGGCACGAGATCATGTTATCGTGTTTGAGTCATCGAGTCTGTGACGAGAAGTCGGGGTCCCAGGGGAAACAGTGTGGAAGTGATTTTGCCTACTTCTACTTTGTCTCCTTTATCTTCCTCTGCTCCTTCCTGGTCAGTACTGAAACCTGGTATCCTGTGTTTTATTGTCTGTTTGATAGATCTGTTGGGTCACATTGGTCCTGCAGAAATAATTTGATGTTGTGTTGAGTGTAAATTAGTGGAATTGGACCTTTTAGAAATGTTTAAGCTACAATCCAATTTTCACATTTTAGTAATTAGATACATGCTGTAATGAGCAGTGACTGAAATATTGAGAAGCCCCCTAATGTGAAGCAGCTAATCCACCAATCTTAAAAATGTACTCAAATCAAAGAGAGGAAAAGTTTAACCAAACATCTTCAGAAAATAGGAGAAATCAAAAAATGATTAAGAAAGACCTGGCATACACTGCCTCTCAAGCCGATTCTTAACCATTTAGATTTGCACGACTGATTTTGAAGTCAGACCTAATTTCAGCTCGATCATGTGATGTTGCCAAGCAGTAGCCTATATAGTGGGGCATGATGGTCAATCACGGCCCGATCTGCTGCACCCAATGGGTTTGATGAATTTCTGGCATGTTTGAAATGTTGTTGTACAGAGAATGCACGGCCTGAGTGATATCCAGTCAGGAAAATGCAAGCACTTTAGTCTAAGTCTAACATGCTAGTTAAAAGGAAGCAATAGGACAGAACCATTGCAGATCCTTGCCAAGAACATGTTGGCATCCAAGCTGTTGGCCAAGATCGCATAAGCAACATGTCAGGAATGTGCTAACAGTATGTCTTGAACATGGTAGCACTAGGCCAGAGACGCTAGCTCACAGCCAAAAAACATGGAAACAATAGATGAACATCCTTGAACTTGACTGGACACTTGAAGACACGAGGTCTGGATATAAACTCAATGGGCCAGGACCATCCTAGCCCTACTGGTGGCTGTGGCTCAGCGGTTGAGTCGGTCATCTTTCACCCAGAAGGTCAGGGGTTAACTCCTGCAGCCATATGTTGATGTGTCCTTGGGCAAGAAACTTTTCCCAAAACTGCGGCCTGTGAACGTGAACGTATGACTGATGGACAGTTAGTATAGCAGCCTCTTTCATTCGTGTGTGAATGGGTGTGAATGGGTGGGTTTGACCTGCAGTGTTAAAAGCGCTTTGAGTAGTCGGATGACTAGAAAACGCAATACAAGCTCAAGTCCCTTTACCATTTACTCAACCAGGACATACAGTCAGGTTAGATCATGTTAGTCACTTAGGCTCCTAAATCCACCTGGCTTACCAAACCTTGATTACTTTAATAAGTTATGCTCAAGTAATGTACTTGTAGTAATAAGTCTTTTTTCAAACAATGCCTCTTTTGAGAAACAGTTTACACTCCGACAAATCGATGAAGCGATATCATTGCTGTAGGCACTTCAGCGTTCTGTTTCCTTAATTTACAAGAGGGGCACAGACTGGATGGACAGATTAATCAAAATGTATCGTGTAGCAAAAACAATGTGTGTGAATTGGATTCACATTTACAAGCGCCTCTACTAAAATGCAAATGAGATTGATTGATTTCGATGCAACATGAGGTTGTTGTTGTAAATACCAGCGTAAACAATCTGATGTCTGTGTTCCAGATGCTGAACCTGTTTGTGGCTGTCATAATGGATAACTTTGAGTACCTAACCAGAGACTCCTCCATCCTGGGGCCTCATCACCTCGATGAGTTCATCCGGGTTTGGGCTGAGTACGACCCGGCTGCATGGTATGTTCATGCCTCCCTCTGGGCTCAGAGAATATAATTACAAAGTGAAGTGGAGGTAAAAAAGTGTCCTAACTCTACTCCTCTCTTCCCACGTCTGTGACTAAGGTAACTGAATGAGGCCTCGTACACAGGCCTTGTTCCTAAACCTTGATGTTTGCAGTCAGCCCACTGATGATCTTTGTTTTTTATTCTAAAGCTGTCCTGAACGTCTGTTCATTTATGTGCTTGTTCTTCTCCACAGCGGACGGATTTCCTATAAGGATATGTACAATTTGTTACGAATTATCTCACCCCCCCTTGGCTTAGGGAAGAACTGCCCTAATAGGGTAGCATACAAGGTTTGCAAATACCAGACATTACCGTCACTAGGGTGCTTTGTGTACCTCTATGCCAAGAGACTTTTAACTGAATGGCTGTGCACCAATGAAATCGCCTCTACACTAGCACCCGCCCCTTTCAAACTGACTGGCTTTGGTTGATGATGCCGGAGAGGAAACAAAGCTTTCAAGGCCACGGCATTGTCCCAACATGCCGCCTGCCACGCCTTCATTCTCCTGTCTGTGATCTGTAGACTGCAGACATAGATTTACTGCCCATTTGGATCACATATAACCTTAAAAAAGAAATGTGATCATTCTATTCAGATCTTTACAACATCTGAATCTGATCAAAAAACTTTGTGGTGAATGTGTTTTTATAAACGACATCTGCCAGAGCAAAGCCAGGCGATGAGTGCAGCCCCAAACCAAAGCTCAGGCTGGCATTGAAACCTTTGTCTCCGTGCACCTTGGTTGAAGTACCAGTGGGATGTCTGCTAGCATGCGGAGGCAGACATCCCTGTTACAATGCTGTCATTTCTCTTCCCTCTCATCATCAGCATCCTGTGTGTCTTCTCTACCCTCCTCCCCTCACCCACCAAAACTCACTCTTTTACCATCCCATGTTTCCTGTCAGGGATCCTGATGTCCACTCTGATGCATCCCTGTGCCCCGACACAGCGGCTGAGGATGACATCCACCTCACATCTCACATTTGGAAATCTATTAACAACAGATTTCTGTTTCCCCCTCTCCATTATTCTCCTTTTTGTTTTGTTGATTTCTTCCCTTTGTTCCCCTTCCTCCTTCTCTAACTCCCCATCCCTCTCTGTTTGCGTTTTTTATTTCTTTATTTTATTCTTTGATTTCCTTCCCTGTGAAGTGGCCGTATCAAGTACCTCGATATGTATCAGATGCTGCTCCACATGTCCCCACCCTTAGGTTTGGGAAAGAAATGTCCGCCAAGAGTCGCCTACAAGGTAGACCCTCCTCTTCCTCCACCTTCTCCCCTGTGCTCGACAACCTCTCTCCCATTGGCGTGACCTTAAGCCAACGTCTGTGCTCTGCAGTGTTCCCTCGTTTCCTCACTTTGTTTTGCTAGTGCTCTGATATTTTTGGTGTAAGCCCCTACCTCATCTTTACTGTCTCTACTCTTTGTTTATGGTAGCTGCTTTTTCACTAATTATAATAACTACAGAGCTTAACTAAGGAGACTTGAAGTCATGGTCTTTCAGAGATATTTTGTTCATGGAGGAATTTTTGCTTTCCTATATCACTATTTTCTTGTACGCAGCAGTTGGGGTCTTATTTTGTGGAGCAGTGTTGGGTGTGTGTGTGCGTTTACTGGTGTGTGTGTGTAGCTTCTGTAGCTTTTCCATTATAGCAATACAATCTATGTGTGCATTAAACTTTGCTGTTCTGTCTTTGCTGCTCATTCACAGACATACTCTCTCTCTCATCTCACGTCTCTCCACTGTTGGGAATATGTTGGTGTGCTTGAGTTTATGTCTGAGTGTGTGAACGTTTGTGCTGCTCAGCATTTATTCTAAACGATATCAGTGCCTGTTTTAGTCCATTTATCTGGGTATTGAATAAATAAGAAGAAGTAGAACCCATTTTCACCTGATATTACCTTGCTATCTTTACCTGGAAACCTTATGTTTTTTAGCTTGACTGATGGGGGAATTCAGAGACTGCTATAAAAAAACTTGAATCTCTCTTCACGAGTCGTATATAGATCTGGAATGATGTCACTCTACAAAGGTACTCAGAAGACTGCTTCCCTAAAATAACCTGAAAGAGTTTAGAAAGTTTGTATAATTATTCAATGTGAACTATTTCCCGCACGGAAAACCACGGTCTGCCTCAGACAGTATTACGAGTATCAATAGCTATGGAGTCTGTGCATACACCATTAACTGATTCTGCATAAAAACACATAATCTTTTTGCAAAGTACAGGAAGTTGTCTACATATGACATACATAACTGTCTCTCAACTCCAGTTCCATTCTCCATCTGAAGGTCCAAGTAAGGACATAACAATGACATGAACAAATGAAGAGAGAAGTCATGGGTCCAAAGTCAAAATCACTCATCTGAGAAGCCGCTTGCTTCACCAGAAGATCCACCAAAAAAAAAAACCCCAAAAAACAGCTCCAGCAAGAAGGATTTAGATAGCTGTTTGGTTTTGATATTATCCTAAAAATAAATAGTAATAATACAAATAATAATATAGGTGCATTTAAAAAAAGGTAACAGTTTAAATTAAGTTCACAAGATTCACCATTGACTAGTCGCTAATTAGCATGCTAATTATTAGCATACTTGCTGCTTATAAGTCATTATTAAGCGCTTATTCTGAGAACCTTATTCTACATGACTATAGTCTATAGCTAATAGGTCATTAACTGAGAGTTTTCACTCAATACCTCCTATTTACTGCTTATTGGTAGTGAGTTTGAAAGCCGTTGAACATGATCTACAATCTTAATATGCTTTCCTTACTTCTATCTTACAACAGCCAAGCTAAGCTAAGCAAAGCATATTAAGATCATAATTCATGGATACAAAATGAATGAAAATACAGCTTAATAGGCCAATATAAGAGGGCAATATTAGCCAACGAATACATCAGTTTGGCTTTAGAAGTTAGATAACACTACATGTGAAAGTGAAGATAATGTGTCGCTGCAGACAGCATGCTAATACAGGTGTACATGGGGTTCAGGTGGGCACATCGTAACATCATCAATAACTTTTCTTTAAGGCTGTTTGCATTTTACATTCTTTTTTTTCTTAAATGTAATGTAATATTTACATATTACATTTTTTAGATAACTTTTACCTCTCAACAGCTGCTGTACTTTACTGTAGAATTTCTATCAGTCAATATTTGGTCCGTCTAATTGATTGTGCAGCCGGTTGTTGTGTGCATAAGCCTCTGTGTGTGTGTGTGTGTGTGTGTGTGTGTGTGTGTGTGTGTGTGTGTGTGTGTGTGTGTGTGTGTGTGTGTGTGTGTGTGTGTGTGTGTGTTTTTTCTGTGTGTTTCCCCCCCAGCTCTCCATCCCCGTCTCATTCTTACTCTGGTCTTTCTTACTCTCTGCCTTCCTGCCACTGATAGCACATGTAGGCGAATGCTTTTTGTGTTCAGGGGAGCTCAACTCTTACAGCAATAATCCCACAGCACTCTGTTTGCATCCAGTGGTGCCAGAAGTCCTTATTATATGAACCAAGTCTTCCTGCTCAGGCTGCTCAAGCTTGGTAGAATGGACACTCTTTATTGCTAGTTTTCCACTGCACATGAAGAGCAAACACAACCTCCTCAACTGCCAGTTGATGATTGTTAGGATAGCAACCACAGAGTCGAGCTCCTGCGACTGTCAAGGCACCTCCATGGTTATGCGTTACATGCCTTCTCTCACCTTTCTTTCGGTCAATGTCAGTCTTGCACCAGTGCACTTTGACTTGCAGCGTAGTGCATACTGTAGCCTTTAGCAGTGAATGTGAATGTCTAGTTTGTCTCCTCTGTTCGTTCTTGAAGAGAACGCTTTTTGTGTGCTGAACCGAGTCATTTCACCAACAAGGCCAAAACGTGCTCAACAAAGTTCTGAATTCAGATTAAAGGTATTTCAGCATTGATTAGTAGAGGGTACTGAATCACACCAGCACACAGATTGATTTCTCTGGATGATTTAAATGTTCTGATCGGGCTGTTTTCTCTCACTCACTCACTCTTTAACGTCTCTTTGTCACCGCTCGTCTCCTCTCCTCAGCGCCTCGTCAAAATGAACATGCCGATCGCTGAGGACACCACGGTCCACTTCACCTCCACCCTGATGGCCCTGATCCGCACCGCCCTGGAGATCAAACTGGCTTCAGGTCAGAAAAACACAACAAACAACAAGTCTGTGCTGCAGTATGTGCCTGATATTCAGAGGATTCTTTAGAAAGATGGACATACGTTGGCTAGTTGTCAAAACATTTCTACTAATTTTGTTCCACACAAGATGCACAAAAGCGCAACTTCTTTTCAGTTTAATATCAGTGCATTTGCTGATACATTCAAATTAAGTCTTTTTATGGAATTTTCTGGCAACACTGAGATGGAAAACTGCTATCTGTTTTGCCACTGGCATACCACAGTTGTTCATGGCATGCGGCAAGAGAAATATAACTTCAGTCCACCGTCCATGTGCTGTGTGTGATACGAGTGTTCAGGGGCACAATGAAAGGAACACATCCGGCTTTTAAAGGGATTGAGAGCTGGCACTCCAATTGTTACACCCACCAACAACTATGTATAATCAGACATCTTAATCCAACCCCTTTGCACTCTGTGCCTCACAGTCCTATCAGGTGTCCTGATACTGCAGTAAAGCTAGGCTGATTTTGCATCATTAGTTTCTAATGTCCAGCATCAGTATTATGATCTGATTTCATGTATGATTAAATGTAAGTTTACGACAAACATTCTTTTTATTGCTGTATATCATCCATGTGGTGTCTGTATGTGTGTGACCTCACGTGGATGACTGGATAAGGTCACATATTTGTAAAAAGAAAATGAAGGGGCGCCAGTAGCCTGGTGGTTGACTGGCCTGGCACACCCCATGTGCGGAGGCTGTGGTCCCCCAAGCAGTTCGGGTCCGACCTGTGGCTCCTTTCCTGCATGTCATTCCCCACTCTCTCTGTCTCTGACTCTATCCACTGTCCTGTATTAAAATAAAGGCATCAAAAAAAGACCAAGAATAAACTTTAAAAATATATATAATGCAGCTTTATCAAATAAAATTTATTTTTTACTGATGATTTAAAATGTAACCTGATACAATATGAGCAAATGATCCCAGGTAGACTTTTAAAATGTGAAATGCAGCAGCTGACAGTCGGTCCCAAACAGAGTCACAGATGTGTTCAAGAGCCAGCTGCTATTTATCCTTCTCAGAGCTGAAAATGAGCAAACGTGGCTCCCATTTGGACTCATTTTGAACGCTCTGTGCTAGCTTCACTGACTCTAGCTTCACTGATTATTTCTCAAAGTGCCTCATAATCTCAAGAACTACTCATCCATTTAAATAGTTTCTGGTTCAATCTGAAATGATCTAGTTAGAAGATGTTTCTGTCATTTTTCAGTGTCTTTCTTTTTTTAAATGTCATAGTGTGTTGTGCTCTGTCAGGCGGTTGAGCTACGTGTGTCATGAAACTTTTATTTTCCGACTATGTTTGCAGGCATGCTCGCTCAGCGGTTATCTGACGAGGAGTTAAAGAAGGAGCTGTCCACAGTGTGGCCCAGCCTGTCTCAGAAGACCATGGACCTGCTGGTGACGCCACATAAACGTACGCAGTTCACTAGTGAACTTTCTCCCTGAGCTGTGTTGATATGTCACCTTCTGAAAAAGAGTTCTATCTCCTCCTCTTTAGGCCGTGACAAAGTAAGAGACGCACAGTTTTTAGGTTGAATAAAGAATGTGTTTCAGCAAAAGTTCATAAAGTATTTTCATAACAAAACACCAAAGGTGTCAGAAGTGTAGGGTGTGCTTGGGGGGATCATGGGTAAATGCTGTCTCATATTCAAAAGGGCTCCTGCAAGAAGAAAGAGGGTAAGAGTAATACACCAGAAGTCATTGATGTCCAAACTGTCACCCAATCAACGAGATAAATTTAAGCTCTCTGCCATGTTCTTCCAACATGTCTTTTCACCAGCTGATCTCAGACGTGACGTTTTGATTAAGGTCCCGAACAGCAAAACAAGATCCGCACACTGAGAAGCTCCCGTTTGCAGGATTTATTGATAAGTGACGAGCCAACATGCTCTTCCTCAGACTTGAAGGCCCCCCCCCCCCATGTAGAGGTGACTCTCAGCTGGCAGGAACAAGAAAAAAAAAACTGAAGTGCGGGTTGTAGTTTCAAAGGCATCTGAAAAACTCCACCCAGTTTTGCATGTACATGAGCAGGGAGCTTTCTTTGCAGCTAACACTGAGGACAGTAAAACATTTTTCATTTACCTGAAATGTCTGTATTATAGTGATACGAAGCTGGTTGAAAATCAGCAAATGTCCTCTATAAGTCGTGTGAAATTTCACACCAAAAGCTTTTATTCTTTTGAATGCAAGTAGAATCTTTTCTGTACTAGTGGTAATTCAACCTCTGGTGTATACGTGTATTAGTGTGTAAACATCCACGAGTGAATGCAGGAGACATGACTGACTGTGGGTTCTGATTTTGCTGCCACCTTTTGATCAGAGTTGTGTTCATCACCTAATAAAAGCCTGTTGATGATTATTATTGTTAACCTTTAAGAGCTTTAATACATTAGTCTAAAAGGATTGAAACAAAACAAATCACACTCTTTAAGAATTTCCTTTAATTTAAAGTATTAAGGAGACAGGAGGATGAAAGTAGAAGGGAGGAGTGAGTCAGCAGGATTTCCTTTCTTCCTTATCTGTCTTCTCCTTCCTCTTTTTCCTGATGTGTCCTCCTTCCTCACAGCCTTTCCTCTCTCTTCACTTTCAGCCAATGAGCTGACAGTGGGGAAGGTTTATGCGGCTCTCATGATCTTTGATTACTACAAGCAGAACCGAGCAAAGAGGCTGCAGCTGCTGCAGCAGCAGCAACAACAGGGCATGTCAGGCTCCCAGGTACAACATCCACAGCACACACATGCCTGCACACCATAGAAACACAGACACACAAACATATGCGTCTGAAGCACAGACAAACACACATTGGATGCAGTGGTGCAAAACTATACTGTATGCATGTGCACACATCTATTATGCCTGCAGATACACACATTGGCTGTATGCCTGCATGCATACACACAAGAAGAGATGGCACTTTTGAATCCACCAGATGTTCACTGGTGGATGACAAAATCTATCGACCGCAGTGTAAAACCACACAATGATTGGTTAGCTATGAAAGTAGCTCAAATTAAAAAAACACATGAATCACCTCCAGCCAAAGATGAACCTGCATTTGGCAGCGGGTTTATTGTTATTTGCAACATTCATCATAAACTGCACAGGTGCATGCTGGTTTCCTCCATAGACTGTATGTAAGAAGTGATTACAATCACACAGTGGGGTGTGAAATATTGTTTCAAAGCCTCAAGTTTGGACTTTTTGGCACACCATCCTCTATTTAAGTGAACATATTTGGACAAAAAGGTGAAGCTTGAGAAGTTATCGTACAGCTTGTTAAGAAAGATTTATATGTAGGCCTAATTCACACTGACTGTTATAATATTTAGGATTGTCATTATCAGACAAAATGATTCAAACAAGTTGAACTTACTAAATCAGTGTCTTTTAGTCAACAGAACATTTTATAAGAAATTAACCAGTTCACTGCTGTAGCAACTTATCGATCTCAGATAGCAAAAAACCAAAGCATATCCTGTTTTATTATCTATTCGATTCTAAATAATCTTGGAATTTACAAGATGAACATTGTGCTGTATTGAAGAATACTTAAAACTACAGATTGAGAAAATACATTTCTTGGTAAAATGTTTGCAGTATTCAGAGAACTGGTCTCATTTTCCAAAAGAGTTCTGTACAATTGGACTTCATTTTCCAACCAGTGTAGTCGCCCCCTGCTGGTTGTTAGATAGAATGCAGGTCTAAAGCACTGCTCTGGCTTCACCTATGAAACAAAGAGTCTATGTCAACTTCTTATATACACTCTATGGTCACACACTCAAACGCGCCCTCAGTTACACACAGTTTGTCTACACTGAAGCATGACTGCGAGAAATGAATATTCTGGCCCAAGACATCACATGTGGGTGGTCTGAGCCCCCCTGCTGTCAGACCTGGGTCCAACAATATTCTGCCTGCTGCCTCTGAATGTCTTCAGCATGGTGCCATCCGTCTCTCCTCCACAGTGCAAGGTCGGGGCTCTGTTTAAGCCATTGCTGCCTCTGACTCACATGCAGGAGAAAGATCTGCCTATGATGTCAAACAGTGTGGAGCCTCCCAGCATGCTTCAGTCCAAATCCCATGCCAAGTCCCAGCCACAGACCAGACCTAGCTCCAACTCCCTGAACAACGGAGGCACGCTGTAAGTTCACTCAGGGAGTAACCGTATCAAGATTAAAAACTAAACCAAGGGTAAAAACAAAGTGCACTGTTATGAAATCAACACTTCACATCAAGGTTGCAGAAGGTTATACTGATAATAATAACTTTTAAATTATTAATCCTATCCAAACAAGGTCACAAAGTGCTTTGCAGAATGCATAAAACAAAATTAAAACATAGGCCGATTCAAAGAGCTTCTCAAAAATTCAAAGGATAAAAACATGGGCAGGTTACAAAATCATGAATTAGAACAAACTAAATAAATTATAGCAGCACATGAATTACCAATCACTTCTAAATGGCGTTTCTATAAAAATACTGTATGTTTGAATCAAAGATTTAAAAACAGGTAATGAGTTAGCCATCCTAATGTCCTCCAGCAGGGAGTCTCAGAGTTTAGGTGCTATGATGGAAAATGGCAATCGTGCTTAAGCATGGTACGGGCCAACATTGCCAGTGTGACCGGGCTCTTAGATCATGGTTTACAGTCTAAGTTGTCAATAGCTCTGTAATGTAAAATTCACATACTAATAACAAATTTCAACTAATTTCAACAAGTTTAAATGAGTCTCACAGCTCCCCAAAACATGTCTCTGAAGGTTCTTGTTCTAAATCCACTCTGATCCTGTATTTGATCATGTCTATAAACCCCTCTATTTCAGCCCTGCTCAGAACAGGCTGTTTCTGTGTCTGTACCTTTAAATATGTAAATGAGCTGTGTCTGACCATGCCCCTCTCTGGAAGGGGATGTGGCTTGGGCTTTTTCACTCCATGCACTATTGTTAACAGTGAGAAGGCTGACTCAGGTGGCAGAACAAACACCTAGCTGTGGGAGTGTCACCCACCTGGGGTAGGGGTTACTGCCCTTTGTGATGTCATGAAGGGAATTGTTTGAGCACACATTTTCTGAAAAGTGGAGCAGGAAAAAGACGGAGAGGATGGACTTTTCTCATAACTGTGGGGTTTGTTGACCAGCTAGGGACACATAGTTAGAAAAGCACGGTAAAGTGTATTCTGCACAATAGCCTTTAATGTTAAATATTGTTAGGTTCTAATCTGTTCTCTACACTTAGAGACCTGATTTTAATCCTTTAGTTTTAAGCAATTTTAAAATTGTGGACTCCACTCCACAAAGTTATTAGTAAGTAATCTTACTTGCCTTTGACTTATCAGTTACAGGTATTCTATGGTGAAATCTCCACAAAAATGGGAGATTGTAAGTGATAACAATGTGACAGTATAAATATCAACGCTGAGAGAGGACAGTTTGGTATGGTTTTATTCTAACCATTTCATTTATTATTAAAAAGACAAGAGCAAGCAGACAAATTAGGACATGAGTATAAAAGCGAGAAGGGGAAGCTTAAGAAGTATGAGTATTAGAAATCAAGCATAAAACAAGTAAGTGTGGGAAGAAAGAAGTAAAAGCTTTAAAAAAATTAAAGTCTTTGTTACTACTAAATCAATAGAAATCAAAAGTTCTATGGTAAAGATAGAAATCTCTGACCTGTAAGATGGACATTGTAGTATTATTATTATTATTATTATTATTATTATTATAATAATGCTGAGCTGACTGTTATGACACTCAGGCCGGCTCATGACCAAATCAAGGCTTCTGCTTCCTGGGTGATGGACAAACCCAAGGAAGCTCCAAAAGGTAAAACTAAGAAAATCTCGTCCAGAGGCCCCTCAGAGGACACGCCAGACAATGACGCCAATATGGTAAAGCACACACACACACACACACACACACACACACACACACTCTGTTTGTTAAAGCAAATACATCATATAGTAAAGGACAAATACTACGGAGGATTAGGGCCACGTTAAAGAAAAATAAAGTAAAGTTAATTTACAGGAATAAAGTCGTAAATGTACGATTTTAAACTCGGAAATTTCGATTCGCCCTAATCCTCTGTTGTAGACAAATGATGCTAGGGAAACATGTTTTCTTTGACTTTAGGCGTCAGGTTGTTATGATTTGGTTAAGAAAAGGACAAATTGGACTTGCTTGACTTGTCAATGTGTATGTCATTATTTAATGTAAATCAGTTTATATCATTTTGAAAGGTTATGTCAATTAGTAATGACATATGACATATACAGATTATTTAGAGTAAATTGATGCTTTTTTCTTGACAAACCATGGTGGAGGCAGGTATTTGTGTGAACATTCCGATTAAAGTCTTACATGTTACTGGAAAGATAAAAAGAGGATATTAGACCACATCTTCCTACAGAACTAAAGAAGCTATTTAAATTGCCTCTGTGTCTGTGTCTGTGCAGGAGTCCGTAGAGATGAGGAAGATGGAGACCAGTGCCAGCAGTACAATCCCAGTCCCTGTTTCAGGTCTGGAGAATCAGGGCAGAGCTGCTTCAATGCCTCGACTCAATGCTGAGCTGCAGGTAACTACTTATCTTCATCATACCTGTGTGTTCACTCTGAAAACTCAGAATTTAGATTTAGCAAAAAGACATTTAAAGTAAGGTTTTAAGAGTTATTGTATTATTGTTAAAAGTTTGTCAGTATTTTGGGGCGTATTTTTTAATTTTGATGTTGTGTTGTTCTGTTGTGTTGTCAGCTGTGAGAAAAGATCAGAAAAAGATCTCTCCCTCTTTTTAGCAGACTATTTCAGCATCATTCAGAGGCATTCTGCTAAACCCAGTATGTCAGAAACACCTGGAGAATATTTTAAATCTGGCCACAAACTTCCACTGAGACTTTAAGACATACAGTTAGATACTGGTGATCAAAGGTAATCACTTAAAAAAAACAAAAAAACATTTTGTCCATAATTCATAATTCACCTGATTTTTAAGAAATAATTTCACAAAAATGTTTTGAGTAAAATGAATAAAGTGAGGTCAACTTAACCATGACATCATCATAATCACGGTAGAGTAAGTAATATGAGCAAGGTGTCAATGCTGTTTGTGCTGTGATGGCCATGTCTTGGAGTCGGTTGTCTCTCAGATGTATGTCCTGGGGTTCGATCCCCGGCTCCTGCAGTCACATGTAGAAGTGTCCTTAGGCAAGACACTGAACCCCTAATTGCTCCGGAGTGGCATATCCAGCCGTGTTTGTGTGAATGTACTGTATGTGAATAGGATTAGTCAATACTGATGGACACTTTAAATAGCAGCCTCTGCCATCAGTGTGACTGTGGTGACTATAAAAGTGCTAGTCTTTTGAATACTCAAGTGCATTGAGAAGTGTACAAGTTCAAGTGCATTTATATTTAGAGTAGGTATAAAGAAGTTCTCCGGGTGAGTGCTACAGGCGGTTGGAACTAGTATTGAAGGGGAGGTGGATCTGTGATGCTGGAGCTCACTGTCCACCCTTCCCAAGATGTCATGGGACTATTTGGACGAAACACTTAGAGTTAGAGAGAGGTTCCCACTTAACAACCCCAGTGATATTCCGGCTCTAGCTTCCCATCAGTCTACATGGTTCAGACTGGGGGCCAATAGGGTCCATGTGGTAGGATAGGTACAAGGCCGTAACCAGGGTTTAGAAAATAGTGTCGTCCAGATTTTTCTTCAAAAGCAAATGATTGCAAAGCAAATGATTTGCGGATCACGTGCTGAGTTTTTCCACAACTAGGCGTTGGCTGCGTGTTAAGGTAACTGCCTTAACCTACATGAACAGCCAGAAACACAGAAGCAGTGTAGGGCGCGCTGTAACTTTGTGGTATTACTGTGTGAGTATTTTCAAAGTAAAAGCAATCTTGTGCTTCATAGATTGATGGTAACAATTTTTGCTCTCTTGTTTTTGAAAAAAATTACCGAGGTCAAGACCTCAGTGACCTCATAGCTGGTTACGGCCATGGGTAGGTATCAGCATTGTCACTACCTGGCTAGCTGAACAGAGCCTGCGTCTGTTTTATGTGTCAATGCAGTTTTGATTGTGGGAACTTGTGGTATTTTTTGTAACTTATCAGTAGGGTATGAGGACAGGACATTTTATTACTACTTTTTTTAAGTTTATATCTTTATCTGTCTGAGAGAATTACAGTGGATCAACTGATGAGTGGGCAATGTCTATCCCCCTAATGTAACCATTTGTTCTGCTGTAGTGCACCTTCATGTCACCTCTTCAACAAATCACTCAAACACACCTCTGTGATTGGGACCTTGTTTCTTCAACACGCGAGTTGTTGAACAGTTTCACATTGATGTGAAACAACACAAAAAGAAGCACAAAAAGAGCATGTCGTCTGAAAAGCTCTGACTCACTATTCATCCTGTTAAGGCTCTAGATGAATCTTTCACTGGATCCTACGAAATATGATAAGCTTCTCATTTCCTGAGTGATGTTGATGTTGATCGATTCGTGCATTTAAAGTGCATTCCTTTCACAGCCACATTGAAGCTGTTGTTGATCCTACCCTCGGTACAGAGGGGAAGACCACGGTAATCAGATTAGATGCTGGCAGGCGGCCAGCTTTTTGTCCTGTATCGTTTTTCTCCCTCCGCCAGCCGAAAAGATGATATTCGCTTCAAATGGTTTTGGGCCCAAGAATCAGGGCGAGAGGGAAATGGTAATTGGGTTACAGTAGAGGAGAGAGAATCTGGAGAGGGGGATTAATGAAAGGATGTGAGGAGCGAGGGAGGGACGTCGCCTTGTTGACTTGCCGTCTTATTTTTCTCACCTTTTGGAAAGAGGGCAGGAAATCCTTTAGCCAATTCAATTAATGCTGGCCTTTTGAAAATTACCTGCTGCTGCTGAGGATGATGGGAAGTGTACGGTGTGGTCTGAGCTCAGCAGCTCCAGCTTCAGTCGCCACATCTTTCACTCTTTACAGATTACTTTTCGCTTCGCTTAATTCGAGTTCAGCCGTGCAGGGATCATGAGGCGACAATCTGTCCACACCTGCTCTCCTCTTTAAGGGCACACTCACACTAGGCAAAGTTGTCCCATACCGTGCCTAAGCACCATTGCCCCCCCCCCCCATTCCCCTGCTGACCTGCACTCACACTGCTCCAGGACTAACTGGGCCTGAGCACAGTTACCTCTTGTACAACGTCGTAATACAACACATGCCTGGCTTTATGTAATTATGAAGTGTGCTGAGTTTACCAGACAGGCAGACTCGAAAAAAAAAAAAAAAAAAAGGATGATCTGTCGAGTCTGTGTCTGCACATCAGAGAACAACACAGAGAACATGACAGCTACTTTTCTGACTTTGTGGCTTATTTTGAGTCAGACACAGACATAACACTTCGGGATTTCTCTTGTGCTCATGCATGAACCGTACAGTGCCGAAGCACACCTCTTCCAAGCGTGCCAGGGCCAAGGAAGTGTACCGATCGGAGCACTCACACGAGTCGAACCAACTAGACTTTAGGGGTGAAGCGTGCTCAGGCTGGGTACTGATTGCCTTGTATGAGTGCGCTCTAAGATGCTGTGCCGTTGGTGGCATCGAAAAACCTCAATGAAGTCAAGCAGAAGGCAAAGAGCACACTCAGCTCCTCTTACCGAGCTGATATGGGGCATTAAGATCCTGATATTGCAGTTTCATCTCCTTTTATTACAGTATGTGCAGAATCCTGTTTTAATTTGCACGGTGTGTTCTTGTCAGACCTTCTCCAGATAAGAAGCCTGGCAGGCTCAAACTGAGAGAATTAAGGCTGATACGTTCTCAGAGATAAGTGTGAGCCTCTGGGATGTGTGGAAAGAAGCAGATAGTTTTAAGTGTGGGCAGAAACATAGAATAATGTCCCTACTGCATCCTGCAGTGCGTCTTTTTCTTTTACTGGAAGCTGGTGAAACGTGGAATATAGATCATAGATTTTAAAAAAAGAACCTTGGAAACATAATGTGCATCATTTAAGCAAGTTTCCTACATTAGCTACTGTGAGTAGTTTGATTTGTGTCAATTTTGGTGACCCCTGAGTAAAAAGCATTACGTCTTAACTAAGAGTGTTTCAGTAGTGTTCTGTTTGTCTCCTTCAACAGTGACCTGATGGCAGTGATAAAAGATATGGCAAATAACTGGATAGATATATTCACTTCTGTTGATGACGGTCTCATCTGCTTTTGTAGGTCATATAGAGGCATCAGTGCTACTTTCTATCTGTTTCATAAGCAGTTAAATACTAAGATTTATTATTTGGGCTTTTTTATGCCTTAATTGTAGAGACAGGACAGTGGTTAGAGTCTGAGGCCGGATTTGAACCCGGGCTGCCAGCTTCAAGGACTGCAGCTTCTGTAGATGGGACACGCACCTTAACCACTCCGTATTACCATATGATGAAAGATGAGAGTCAATCTATTATTCAAATAAAGTCTGCTCATGCACTCATTGTCTCTCACTTATCAGGGTTCTATATTAATAAAACAATTCTTTACAAAGTGCCTTGTAATGTGAACATGTGCTTTTTTCTGTTTGTCTAATTTGTTTCTCTCTCCTTGCAAAACAGCGGAGCCACTCACGCCACTCTCCAGGGACCATTCTAGCTGTATGTACAAACTCTCACACAGCACTTGCAATTTTAGAGGATTCAATTCTGAATGTTGTGGTCATGAGTCAGTCCATGATACCAGTAAGTAAGACACATTACAAGTGTAAAAACAAAAACTGTGAGTGGATATTCTTTGATCAGGAACATTTCCTTTTAAGGATAAGTTACAGTCTGTTTCATGGCAAACAGTTAAAGGTTTAAATAATAACGGAATAACCCTTTAACATGAAGAAAGCCAGATGTAGACAAAGACTAAAGCAGAGCTGTGTATTAATGTTTCTTCTGGATGTAAAATGTCTGTCAGTCATGAAACTCAGTGAGCCTCAGGGTCTCTCTTCCCCCCATCCCTCAGTCTGTCCCTGATGCCAGCCCCATGAAGCGCTCAGCCTCCACCGTAGCCCCACAGCGTCCCCAAGAGGTCAACCTGAGGGACTACACCCTGGAGAAACCCAACCAGGACCGACCCCACCACCATCACCACCACCACCGCTGCCACCACCGCAGAGACAAAGACAGAGACAGAGAACGAGACAGAGAGAAGAGGCAGAGGTCTCTGGATACACCTCCTGGTGGCCAAGCACCCGGCGCTGCTGGTAGGTCATCTCTTCTACTCACAGAGTCTGTGTGCAGAGTATACAACTACAAACACTGTTACAGCATGAAAGATCAATATAAGGCCATACATTTAAACGCAAGAATGTTGAAAAAAGGGATTTAACTAAAATGTTAGAGCAGCAAAGAATTGCTATCAAAGATTTTTGCTTTAATATGTGGTGTACATGTTTGTCCCTGCTTTAAGTCACAGCCATCATTTCATGCTCATCATTGAACAGTATAACATTGAACCACCTCTAACCCACATCAATGAATGTGCTACAGAGCGAGCGGTGCCCCCTGCAGGGTCTCAGCTGTGTTAGAGATCAGTAGTGCTCACTGAGTCTGGCTGTGAGACTGCAGCTCCACACACGCTATTCATTATTCTGATAAAAGACACTGAACAGTCTATAACTCAGTAATTTATTGGCAGCGTCTCTGCATGGTGAGGCTGTGGAGAAAGAAAAAATGTCAGCAGAGGGGATAAAACTCTTTGGTGTTACAGTCAGAAATCTGCTGCAGAGCCCTCTCAGTGAATATGATTGACGGTGTGTGTGAGTGTGAAAGTGAGTGTTTACAAAGTATTTTCTTCAAGTTAGGGTTAGATAACCAGTGAAATGTGAACTCCATTTAGAAATTAATAGATAGCAAAGCTGTAAATTTAACCCAAAACAGAATATGAGAATTGCCATGTGTCAGCCATGCTGTTGTTATCACTCTATGGAAGGATATTTTAGTCTGTTGGTCCACCCCTTTTGTACAGCTTGAAATCTTCAAATATCCATTCAGTTCTTTACTTTCAGCTGTTGACACAGTTCATTTACAGAAGTAGCTCCTGGACAATTTATGGGCTGTATTGAATTCTTTTTCAGGGGTTTAAAAGTCACATATTCTCCTCCTCCTTCTCAACCCATTTAAATTAGTTTCAGAGCTCCCCAAAACATGCCTGTGAAGTCTCTTGTTCTAAATCCACTCTGATCCTGTATTTGATCATGTCTATAAACCCCTCTATTTCAGCCCTGTTTAGAACAGGCTGTTTTTGTGTCTGTACCTTTAAATGTAAATGAGCTGTGTCTGACCACGCCCCCTCTCTGGAAGGGAATGTGGCTTGCTTCCTTGCAACATGCACAACTGTTAATGGTGGAGAGGCGGACTCAGAAGGCAGAACAAACAAACAAACAAACCTAGCTGTGGGAGTATCACCCACCTGGGGGAGGGGCTACTGCCCTTTGTGATGTCACAAAGGGAACATCTCCAAACAGCCTGTTTGAGCACACATTTGCTGAAAAGTTGAGCAGGCAAAAGTTGGAGAGGATGGACTTTTCTCATATTTGGGGGGTTGTAGACAGACTAGAGACACATATTAGTGTTAGGAAAACATGGTAAATTGATTTTGTATAATAATATGTGACCTTAAAGAGTTTTACATCGTATTGTTTGCTAAACCAACCCAAACTGTGACAGTTTGGTTGGCACAGTGTGGTTAGGTTTTAAAAAAGATCATTGTTTAAGCTTAAATTGTATTTTTAATTTTGTTTTATATTGTGTTCACAAGTTAATATCTTATGCACACCAGTTATTATATTGTGACAAGGTTATAATGCAGGATTAATTGTATATTTTTTACGGTATAACACAATCAATATTCTGGTAAAAAGACATTTGAAAATATTCATGAATTCTTCAGAGACATCAGCTTTCACCCTGCATTGTCCTTTTCCGCAGGAGCTGCAGGGGAGCCAGCGTCTGACCCGGCTGCCTCCAGAGAGCGCGCACATGACCGGGGACGCTCCCACGAGAGGAAACATCACCCCTCCTCTGCGGATAAACAACGCTACTACTCCTGTGACCGCTACTGCAGCCGGGAACACTGCCACACCAAATCAGCCACCGCCAGCTGTGCCGTCTCCCCCAGCGAGGGGCAGGAAACCAGCAACAAGCAGGTGGGAGAGCACGGGCAGGTAGAATAGGAGCAGACCAGGCTGTAGACCAGGTGACGGAGATATCAGAACAGTTTAATGAGTATAAAGTTTACCTGAGTGTTTACTATTATTATCAAAATGAGAACTAGAGGAGTCAAAACTTTAAAATCTATCGCTGCTTTGAATATTATTACAGTAAAACCTGTGTGGAACCTCCTCAAATTGACAATCATTTCAGGTGGAGGCCTTTAGTTTCATGGCAGAGCAGCAGGGTAACAGAAAGACCATCGATGTAATGTTTAATACCTGTGTTTACAAGACTACATGAATATGAGTGTGTGCACTCAGCTGAGAGGATTCTTCTGTTTCCCGTCAGCATCTGACAAATATCCACAAATTCATAAAAAATAATTCAATCAGAATTTAAGAATTGTACTTTCCTCACAAAAAGACGTCCTCTGTACAACTTCTACTTTAGAAAACCCTGGTGTCCACTCAATGTGCTCCATTTTTTTTTTAGCCAGATAGTAATAATACTCACCATATCTACTTCCTTTACTTAATCAAGTTACAAAGTGATAAAACAAGGCACCATAGTGTAACCAATAGATACCACTAGTATGGCCCTGCTGGCTCATACTGTATGGAGTTAGCAGATCACAGATATAAGGTGGGGCCTGGTTCAGAAGTCAGGATCCTACAATCATGTCCAAGTAGAGCCTAAATTTACCTGGTCATGTGCTCAGCTGGCTTTTGGGGAACGTTGGGAGTGACAGTTAGATCTATTTATTTTAATACTGCGGTGTGCTGAATATTTTTCTTTATTTAAGGAAATATCACCAAGAAAACATGAAAACAGTGTAAATGAATCATGTCCTGGCATTAGCAGTAGACCTGGAAATTGTACCCTCAAAATAAGGAGTTAAATTAGTTTCTCCTTCGCCATTGTTGTTTACAAAGCTGATATCAGAAGTCCCATCCCTTTTTGATTTACATTATTCAGTAAGGGAGCATTGAAATTTGACGAGCTGTTCCAAAAAAAACAGTTTTGCCCTGATAGTGCTGTTAGACCAGCGACAAAAACACAGCTGACTCTGAGGGTGTCTTTGCACTTGGTACGCTGAGCACTGAAAACACTGAATGTTTGTATTAAAATATTGGTGCTGCCAGCGCAAAACAAACGCCTTTGTGGAACATGATCCCGAAATGAGTAGACACTTCGGACAGCAAACATGGACACTGGTTATGTCCAAAGTGGTCTCAATCTGCCCATATGAGCCTGTATGGAGCACATCAAAGGCCCTTTATTGACTCATCTAGGCTAACCCATGTGGGGCCTCCAGGGAAACCCATGACAAAACTAACTGGGCCCCTATGAGATATATCAGTCTGTGCAGTTTCAACAAATATAGGCCCAACTTGGATTAAGGGGCTTCTTCTAAATATTATTGTTAGGTGATTTTTAGAGATATAGATTTTGAAGGATCAACAGTTTGGGTCAGACACTTTACGCACACTAAACACACAGCACATCAGTGTAATCAAGCACAAACCTTTGTCTCTGTGAAACTAGAGGCCTCTTGGTTCACCTGAACTTGTTCATATCAGAGGAGAGCCACAATGACCCGAGCACTACATCATTGTCAGAGTCCTTCATGCCTTCACATTAAACGTTAGGATGCAGCAGTGGATGTTGTAAGAGAGGCAGTTTAGAAAGAAAAAAACCTGCAGAATACAGACTTTGTTAAAGTTTTACTGGGATCTCTCTGCATGTTCTTACTGCTTCTTTCTCCTCTGTCTGCTTCAGTGCAGCCTCTCATGGCCTTTCACTTCTTTTCCCACTTTTCTCTTTTCATCATTTCCCATCCATTTCATCTGTCGGACATCACCGCACCATTCTGTCTTCTCTGTCGTTGTTCTGTTTGTTCTCTGTTATCGTTGGGGTCATCTCATGTCGAATGTTTGTGTCTTCCTGTCCTTTCCTCGGTGGCCTTGTTTCCTTTCCTTTTTCCTCCTTCCTCTGTCACGTATTTTCCATCATTCTCCTATCGTTTCAAATTGCTTGTTCAATTTTCATCCAGGGCAGTGGTTGGGTTAGAGGCAGCCCAGTGGCTCTGAGCTCCAGTTCTAGCACGCCAAGCCGCGGACGCCGGCAGCTCCCCCAGACCCCCCTCACCCCGCGGCCCGGGGTGGCCTACAAGACTGCCAACTCTTCCCCCGTGCACTTTGTGTCCAGCCAGGCCTCTCTGAGTCCCGGCCGGCTGAGCCGTGGCCTGTCGGAGCACAACGCCCTCCGTCACAGCGGCTCCCGTCACGTCCCCTGCCCCGTCACTCGTATCAGCTCCGAGCCCTTTCTAGGCCAGGGCCAAGGCGAGGCCCTGGACAGCCTCTACGGCAGCCTGCGGGACCAGCTGGACGTCTTCGAGGACTCTGGGTCGCTGTCCCCCGGCCCCCACGCCAGACGCTCCTCTCGGACCGCACTGCCTCACCCGACGGGAGCCCTGCTCCCCGCTCCGCAGCAGAACCTCGGGGTGCCTAACGGGTATCATTTCAGCTTCGGGGGCAGCAGCAGCCCGGGTTCTGGCAGCAGGTCACCCAGGTATTACCAGGAGGCAGAGGAGGACGAATGGTGCTAGCATGGCTTTTAAACCAACTTTTTTAATGCATTTTTGAGGAATTGTGATGAGTTTTATCATCTTCTTTGAAGGCTTTAGTTTACATCGTCACTGTGTGTGTTGGAATCCTAACATGGAGAGGTGATGTTAGGGAGGAGATCTCAACAGGGAGCAGCGGGAAAAATATGAATGTGAACAAAAAAAGGTTTGTCTTTATCAAAGGGCACGTAGCATCGTAAAAGAGAAGAGTAAACCTTTTTTCAATATCAGACGTGTTACAGATGTTTGGATTGCTTAGACGTCATGCTTTTGTTGACAACACCATTGACTCTCAAACCGCTTTACATGAAAGACCCCGACTAGACATTAAGATCAGAGTAACCTAGAAGAAAAGATCCAAAGACATCTTTTGGATGTAAATAAACCACACTGAATAAACCTAGTTGTTTGCACTGTACAAGCTGCTTCACTCCAAACACAATTCTTCGAGTAAGGTTGAATTCTCAGCCGCTAACTTTTTGACTACTTTTGCTAAAAGCAATTCACAAATTCCAAAAGCTTCAGGTGTTTCTGCAGTTTAAACTGTAGATTATGTTTGCAGGCTTTATAACCTGTTCTGTAAACCTGCCTGAGTTTATTAAGCAAAGACCTACAAGCTATGATGTAATCTATGCTTACTATAGATCACTGTTTACACCAAATCCACATTTTCTAGCAGCCCTACGTAAACCTATACATCATAGACACAACCCTCTTTGAGCCAATCGGCTTATGTCTGATAAAAAATTAGAATCTGTGGGTAACTGCCAGTATTTCTGGGCTTCTGGTGCCGTCACTCTTATGCCCGGATAAGTATTCAGATATCAGGGCGAAAACTTCTTCAATCTACCGGCTACTGTCAAAGTCTGACTTGGTGTTGGAGTTAAGGGATAAGGATATGACCTGTTTGTTATCTGCAGTAAAAATGCAGAATTTCTAAAAAGTTTGATTCTTGTCTTCCATCTCTCTGCTCCCCACACACAAAGCATGCTCAGTTGTGATTGGTCAATACTTCCCTGACTGCTTATCAGAAGACATCACCACATTTGCACTCCTGACAATTTCAAAAAAAAATTAGAAAATTTAAAAAAATTAAAAGACTTTCCCTAAGACATGACATCCAAAGAACGTTGAGGAAGTGGCAAATAAAGGAACAGAGTCGACCACTATAATGACAATTTTTGCTTTTATATCAACGGTATAGGTAGTTCTATATATTAAAAATATTTTTAAAAGAGTGGGGAAGAACATTCTTAAAAACAGGAAAACATAATGAAGATGTTTAGTTACATGCGCAGAGATCACACTTCTGAGCTCGTAGAAAAAGTCAGGGTTAAGTCAGAGTGAAACATGTGTCTGTTTACGCTCACACATGCAGCTCATCCAAAACATTTCAGGACATTTGTGCATGTGTAAAAGAACTACAAGACATCTGCACGTCTGACATACAAAGCCATCTTCTCCTTCACCTGAAGTGTCTGCATTCATATGTAGATATCTGTTCACTAAGCATACATACACAGTAATACAAAAGGAAACCCTTAACACCATAAAAGGAATCAGGCTGGAGACAACACCACACACACGATGAGTTTCTGAATCAGCTGCTTAATTTACACATCTGTTGTTGTAAACCATTATAACAGAACACAGCACAACCTGCTGTCTGTCAGGCTTGTTATTAAAAGCTTTAAATGAACTCTCTGACAGTAGCTGTGGAGCGTTTGGGAGTCTCTATGGCGGAGTCAACAGAAAGTGATGAAAACAGGACAAAAAGTAGGTTAGTGAAATGAGACTTTATGTCACTGTACAAACAGCTGTGTGTTCTTTAGTTACGGACTTTTACCATTCCATGATGATGCCTAATCCTTTACGACATTCCCTCTGTGTCGGTCGAACAGATGACGTGTTGTCACACGGACAGCCGTGATTGTTTTGTTTTCTTCCAGATTTGAAGAGAAAAAAGCGATGCATGTGAGTGAGAAAGTATCCGACTGACTGATTTGTTTTCTATCAGAGTTCCTTGTAGATGTTGTCTTTTCATTGTGTGCATTTTTTTGTATGACGTGAAAAAAACAAAAAAAAACAAGGATGTGTTTTAGTGTGAACTGCTTACGGTTTGCCATCGTTTCAGGTCTAATGTTTCTTACAGACTTCTTTGCGATGTTTTCAAACAAAGTGCCTCTCCTTTTAGATATACTGTAGAAGAAGAAAACAAACAAAAAAAATGCAACGTCAACTGTTTTCTAATGCATCCACTTCGGTGTAGATGTTTGATTCATTCTGTTTGTAGCTCTGCAGGAAAACATGTTGTACAGGAAGCCTTATCTGCAAGCAGAGGAATGATAACACTTAAGATGGAAAATGACCTCATGGCAGTCGATCATATTATCTTTTTTTTTTTATCAACCATAAAATCAAGCGAAGGGTCGGGGAGCAAGAATCAACTTTACGGAACCGCCATGCGAGCATTTAAAACTCTGCATAAATATATACCATAGATCCAGTAACATTAATGCAAATAACACATTCTGCATGTTTTGACGGTCGGCTATCTGCCCTGACCACCCAGTAGGGTTTATTGTTTTTGTATTTCATAAGGATGGTAAGAAGCTGAGCCTTGCAAGCACAAGCAAGGGAGGAGGATTAGAGGGCGTGCACTTCCTGATTTTGGACCCAGAGTAGCAAAAGAGGGATCCAGTCGGAGTCTTTATGCATATTTAGGTCACAACAGGCCCTGTGAGTGTGTGTATGTGTGTGGATTAACAACCAACACTGGTGTGTACATCTACTGTTAAACATATCATTTGCATTTCTACGTTCAGTTTGTTGTTTTCCTGTTTGTTTTTTCCTGTTTGTTATAGATAACTGGTGGTTTCATCTCCAGATAGTTCAGGCTGAGAAACAAAACAAAAACATTTCAACCACAAAGTTTGGCAGGATGTTTGTTGAGCTCTGTGAGCGTCACAACGATGCTGTTTCGATTTCACCCAGGACAGTTTAAAAAAATATCTAGGTCTTAACTTTAGGGGAAACATTTAAAGTAATTGGTAATTAAGATTACAAAAAAAATTATTTGGTATTTCATAATTGTGGATCCACTACATTGCTATTGTTATACAAACTGGACGTTCATTAGGTTTCTCTTTAGCCAGCATATCCAAAAAGTTGACCCAATGGGAGCCAATGAGAAAGCACATCAGGCATACAAGAATCTGTGCAACCCGGGACATGAGGTCTGCAGCAGCAGAATATATATATTTTTTTTTGGATTTCATACTTCAACATGGTGGCATTTTTTTTTAGCTGTGTCCCAATTCAGTACCACATACTGGCTCTATGCAGGTAAATGTAGCTTGTTTGCTCTGGACGAACAAGTAAGACAGGATGTTCAAAGATGTCATACATCCTAAATCTGCTTGTCTTTTTCTCGTGCTTTAAGTGCAATGTAAAAGTGAAACCCTTTTAAGGAGAGCTTCAATGTGTGGTACAAGAAGCTCTCTCAGATTAAACACACTGAATAACCAGTGGGTTGTTTTTCTGTCAAGGACTCTCAAATCAGTAAACTTTTTTGATGACCTTTACTTTTGTCACATCCCAATTCACAATGTAAATATCAACTTCCTTTCTGGGGTACATGTTATGTAATGTTGACACTGCTTCGGAGGGAGTTTGTGAATCTTTGGCATTTCTGCACTGATACTTTTCTGTACATAAACTGTTACCAATAACCTAATATATCAAACATCATATCTCTAGTACATCGTAACTATCAGTATGATGGTAAGACTTGGGACACAGCTGATATGTTCACAATCACACCAAGATTTGAAAGGAAGAAGTTGAGACAATTGACAATGTGTTGGCTTTTTAAAAGTCATTATTGAAACGTTTTGAAACAAAAATACTGTAGAGGTAGGGGGTGTAATTAGAGGTACACCAAATTCAAATGGCAGCCATATTCCTCCTACCGTATTCAAGTTGGATTCATCAGCAACTGTAAAGACAGTACAGTAAAAGGACATTAAAAAAATCCAGACTGATATATTACCTTATTTTGAGGTTTAAAAAAGAAAAATCAAAGACTGTATAAAACATGGACGTAGTCTCAGTGATGTCATCTATTGGTTTCTGAAGTGGAGTTTTGAAGCTCAACAATGGCAGTTGCCATATTGCAAATGCTGCTTCAAACTAACTTTTGGTCAACCTAGAGGTGGAGCTGAAGTGGGCCTCCTAACCAACAGCTACCCTTTGCCTACCTGTCAATATACTCAGCCACACCCCTTATTTTTCACAACTCTTAGCCTTAATGTAATCAAAACGATAGAGTTATGAGAAAATTCACTCCTCGTTCAGTGTGCGCCAATAAAGACATGAGCCACTGATACCAAATATATTTCTTGAACCAGGCCTTAAAGATGTTTATTTTGTCTGTCAGAATTTACACTTTGATATGGGTGTTAATGGAGCTTAAGAGCCTTTGGCAGTAGGTCTCTAGTGGACACTCAAAGAACTGCAGTTTTGTGACTTTCATTATTCAACACCAAAATGTGTTACTTGTTAAAATTAAAAGTTTGATCACTTATTAGCTTCAACAGCTAATGTTAGCATGAGGCCACTTTCAAACTAATTGTAATAATAGCTAGGAAGTGGCTGTGAATTAGATGTGGGCTGTTTTATATGGAAATATAAAAAAGTAGCAGGAGGAAGATATTCCGCAGACTTGCTCCATGCCACAAAAAGTATATAGAATCTCATCGTTTCGACCAGACGTCTTCTACAGGATATGATTGTCATGTGGTATTGAGCGAGTGTGCGGGCATATCTTCTTCTCCTCAAATTAAAATTTTCCCAATGTCCCTCTGGATTTTCACAACCAATTGACTCTCCAGTTCTGATGAATATTGAAACGGTGAATTGATGTCAACTTTTCAGATTTCTTACATATATGAAAGTACAAACCTGGAAAATAGCCGGTATCATTTGAGCTTTTCACCCTGAACATGATGTCAGAGGAAAACAACTGTGATGAATAGGATATGTGTATGTTAAAATAATCAATCAGGCACTGCAGAACTAGATAAAGTAATACTTTCCTAAAGATTGATTACCAAACAACTCCTGCAGTGCACTGAATAATACAGATTATCACTATTAATGGTTAAAAAATGAATGGCTGTCTCACTGACTTCCACTTCTGGTCAACTTTGAAGGAGGAAATTCTCCAGCTGTCGTTTTATAAAACATGATATTTGTTTCTGTTACTTGTCTTTAATTTAGTTTTCATCCAATGCTGTTTACACATCGCAGTAGTCTGCAACATACGGAGGAGGTTTAAACCTTTCTCATGAGCTGTGTGGCTGGAAGGTATTTGTGAACCCTCAGCAGGTTGTATGGGATTGACAGGGGCCTCGTTTCTTCACCGCGACACACACACACTGCAGGGGCCAGACACAAACTGAAAGACATGAGAGTAGGGCTATGCAACAAGACAAACCCATTTGTCCATCCGTTCTGTAGCTTTACATGCTGGTCTCTTCAGATTCAGGCTTCAGCATGATTGTGACCAAATGTTTTATAGAAAATACTATGGGAAAAAAAAAAACGTGAAAAAAATGCAAAAAGGCACAAAGTGTAGACAAGAAACAGATTATTTAGGATTACAGAAACTTTACACATATATTTGCATGCAGAATACTTACCTGGAACGGCAACTTCAAACAGCTCAAAACGGGGTGGGGGAGGGGGGGTTCATATGTATACATGGATTACTTTTTTTTTAAAGACAGAATACATTTTTCTGCAGATGCATTGGTTATTCTTAATATTCTGTTTCCGTTGTGGCAACAAAAGAAAATCAACAAAATACCTTTACCTTTTCAACTATGCGTCCTCTGTATTGCAACAAAGGAAACGTACCTGTGCCCTCGTCTGGACCTATCTGCCACCAAACATTACAAGTGATCCAGTCTCTTTATCTGCATACCATTGGCAGTGTAGATGTGGCTTTTACTTGACAAAAATGAAAATGTTTGCATGTTCTAACAATGTATGTGCATGTAGAAAAACTTAGTACTTTTAGATACCATGTGTTATTTTGTTGTTGATTTTTAATATTTGATATAAACTGTGGGGTTTGCCGTAAAGACAGATTTCTATTTAAAAAACACAGTATTGAACGTTGTTGACGGTCCCCCCCCTGTGCAGCAAAGCTGGAACATTCCTTTATTTGGGATTCAGTGAAATGTTTGTTTGCCTGATTTTATGTTTCTTGGCCAGACTTTGAACTCTGCAGTTGTTTCTACATTAAACATTTTGTATGAAGCGAAGCTCATTGAAATAAAAAACAGGATGAAATGAAGCCGTCTTTGACTCGCTGAATTATTTGTGTGTTAATATGCAGCTGTTTTATTCAATCTACTAGATTATTGTGTGATTAGGATGTTCATTTTACTGCTGTGGTTTTCTTCAATGTCTTGGTTTTTGGTCTTCATCAGGTAAGTGGAACAAGCTAACAGGTCAAAATGTCTGGTGTATGGGCGCTAGTAGCCAGTAGCCTAGTGGTTGGTGTACGGACTGGAGGCCATAGTTCTTCAAGCGGACGGCCCGAGTTTGAATCTGACCTGTGGCTCCTTTCCTGCCTGTCGTTCCCCACTCCTTCTCCCTCCCTGATTTCTGTCTCTATCCACTGTCTTATTGTCTTAAAAGTTGTGATTTACTACGACATGTTCTCATCCCACGTCAAGAGATACCAATGCTTCGTCACAACCCTTTGGGGTTTAATTGGAACGTTCTCTTTGGTTTGGTTTTAGCATTTCTTTTGTTTTTTTTTGTTTTTCGCAGAAAAATGGTGCAGTTTGGACCTTGTTTAAAAAAGTGCCACACATTGGCAACCAACTGAAAACAGCTCCATGACCCTCTTTTGGGTCCAGACCCACCAGTTGAGAACCACTGCCCTATATCACCACCCAAAGTGGGCTTTCCAGGTCTTTTAACATCACTATGTATTTCTTGTATTGTGCAGGTTAGTTCACATCAGAGTAAGTGAAGAGCCTGAGGAGGCTAAAGGGTACAAAGTGAGTTTGTGACGCGCAGAGGGCCTTTACAGTGCATTGATATCTGACAGGGGGGATATGGAAACAGGCTTTTTTGATCTCTGAGCAAGAAGATGAGTTATCTGTGAAGGAGTTCCTGCTGATTTTTACACTTAACTCTTCTACTTAATAATGCTAAGCTGGCTAGTTTAAGTTTAATTTGTGTCTCTATCTTCTTGCTCTCTAGCTTTAGCTTCAGCATCACTTGCTAGCCTCTGCTAATCTTAGCTCTGCTCCCTCCCTGACTTTTTGGCGATGTTACAGCTGAAGAAGAGCAGTGAAGCTGTTACCAAAAGGGAAATTAAGCTGGTGGTGTGTTCAGCCATGACAGAATGTAGCAAACCTTTAATGTATGGAAATATTATTGTGTTAAACAGCCTGCTCTGTTATCCTTGGCCATTTTTCTCACCAAGGTTAAACACAGAGAGGATTGTTGTTCAACCTCGACACCATTTTTAGATTTAATTTGCTCCTGGTGTGATTTCTACCTCCTGATTGGGTGGTGAGAGGAATGATCTGTCTCAGGGTTCTGAAGCAGAAACTCATACTCATAACTAATAATAAAGCCATAAAGATGGCTAAGGCTTCACACCGACTAATAGTCACTGAAAATGTTGATCAAGATTCAAGATGTTTATTGTTACTCCAAATGTTGGTTCATATGTGTGAAAAACGTTTAAGGTTTGGCTCCTTTTACAAGGCTATAAATCAATATATCAATATAATAAAATAGTAACAAAGTAAGGGTATTTCAAAAAAGAACAATAAAATACAAATAAAATGTAAAAAATATTTCAAACAGAAAATATGTAAAATTATACAGGAATATACTGAGGCTAGTATTAAAAATGGATTGTATTGCAATCGTGTGTGTTATTGTGTTATTGTGCTTATTTGGATCCTGCTTTTAAAAAAATACAGCTAAGCAAAAATCTTTTTCCAATCAGTCTTTGCTGTGAGGGTGCTGTGAGGGTGCTGTGAGGGTGCTGTGAGGGTGGGGGCAAGAGCTCACCAGGTGGGAATCTCTTCAAACGCTTGGTAAAATGTCAAGTTAGAGGAAAAGGAAGGTGGTGGACAACAAAATTAAAACACACACACACACACACACACCATTCTTACGAAGTAGGTTTTTATTTTTATCGACATTTGAACGTGTTCCTGTTAGTATATTATTAAAGTAATATGGCTCCATTGCCTTTGTCAAATGCCAAATTTAATATTTAATTCATAGATGAGTTTTGTTTTGAAACTCTTGGCAGGAAGTCCTACCCGCACCAGTAAAAAGCTGATTTGAGCAGTTCATGCTTCATGATGGAAAGGTAGCAGCGGACTCATTGAAACAAACTCAAAAAGAAACTTATAGGCTACTGGATAAAATATTTTAACCTCGATAATTTTAAATTCTTTCGCTTTCAGATATTTATTTTCTTGGAGACAATAAAACGGAAGTATGTTTTTAATAGGCAAAGTCCAGTTTTTGTTGGTTAATTTTTACTTTATTGGATATGCTGCAGACGTGATGCCTTCAGGGAACCCGTGGAGTTTTCAGACAACAGGTAAGACACCCCTTTGTGTGTAATGGCATTATCATTTCTAAAGAGAACTAAACGATTTTGTTCAAATATGAAATAATAAAAAATATGGTAGTGGATTACACGGGGGGGGGGGGGGGGGGTGTCTTTGAAACTCCGTTGTAAGTCGTCAGTACACTCAAGTTTCTGCTAAATTCACGAAGATTCAATAAAATCTTAAAAAGGAAATGTCTTATCGGCTTAATTGAGCTGATAGTCCGAATTGCATATTATTTATGGGTGTGCGAATTATTTCTATTTATTCGTAGCTCTTAAAGATAATGTATCCCTAAAAATGATCTGAAATCTTGTATTTTATGAAAAATGTGACATTGCAGATGCTGCTTTGATACTGACTTGTAGTACCAGCTTCTTCCACTGAGAGCAGCTGTTGCAGCACGTAAACCTGCTCCTGTTTAACCTGCTGACTGTACCTTGAGAAGATCAAGTTAAGCACTTATAAATGCATTTTTTTAAACATATGTCTGTACATCATTTTCAAGTTGACTGTCTGCTCCCACTTCTACATGTGCTGCACATGTAGTCTGAGCTTTGGGAAGTTGTTTTGTGACATTTATGTCCATATATTGAACATTTTCTCTTGAATTCTCTTGTGTGATAAAAGTTCAGACTCAAAGTGTTTTCGGTCAGCTTCAAGGTCAGTGTCTTTGTTAAGAACTTGATAAATATTGACCATGATACTGGTTATTAACTGTGGGACATAAATATGTGACTTGAGTGTCGCTCCAATAGCTGAATAATTTGAGGCCTAGTTCCATTTTGTAGCAGTTTTCTAAAGTTATCTGTGTGAGTGAGGCTTCTTGTGAAGGCAGATACTATAAGTTTGTTGAACCCATCATTTTAAACCCTCCGCACACCTTTGTGTTGATTTACTTGTGCTGCTTGAATCCTGTTCTCAGGACACTGTGGCATATAAAGCTCTTGCTTCATTGTCAAAACTATTGACTGTATGTTAATATGGACAAAGCGTCTCCATCTGCTTCCATTGTTCAAAAGTGAAGCCAAAACACCCCCCACGACAGATGCTGAATTATTGTACTGGTGATGTTATTTAGAGTCAGACATGTGAAGAAGGGAACTGGCCGGAGTATCCGCTGAATTGACACCACGCCCCTTCTCTGCTAACCAAAGCACACATTAAACTTACCGATGAAACATCAAAGATCCCTCAGTGTTGGTACAGTCCACAGAAGAACAGATTCTTGTGTCAGTTCAAAGCAGATACCCACATGGGACGTTCAATGACTGCATTGTTGGTGTCATGCGTCCTCTCACCGTTTCTCCTTTACTCTGATAATCCCGTTGAAAACGGTGAAAGGAGGTGCTAATCATGGCGTTACATCTGCTCCTTTTAGGTTTAAACTGTCGTCCTGCATGATGATCTCTGTTGTGTTCACGGGTTTTTAATACAAAACCAAGTAGTTCAGTGTTTTCAGCGCTCAGCCTCTGCTGTTTGTTGTTGCTGTCCTCAGCTCCCTTAGTTGAAAACAGTTCAACTTTTGGGACAGCACTGCGCTCGTCAATGTCACTTCTCCCTCACAGGCCAATCAGAGTCGTGATGAGGTGGGACTTACAACATCCTCTGTCGACAATCAGACGCTAGTCCGACTCGTCTTTTCAAGGGTACGATTTCCAGGTGTAGAGCTGCTGCTGATGCCAGGTCATGACTCCTTTACATTGTTTTAACATTAAGCACACAGAGCTATCTAAAACCACATACACAGACATTACAGAGGGAAGCAGAAGTTAACATTTGTAACCTAGCAACAATGTGCGCTGGTGAGAAGTGCAAAAAGCGCTGTCTGTGGACGCAGGGCCTAACATGGACAAACTTAGCGGTCATGAAAGTGGAGGACCAGCTACCACTGTGTTGTGAGAGGAAAATGGAGCCTGACAGCTTTGAATAGAGCGATGTAACTCTATAATGTTCTCTTTGTAGGAAATGTTTTATTTTATTTTTTTACAATAGTGTAACCCTGTCCATGGCACATTCAAGCACTTTTAAGGGGATTATCTTTGACTGGGAGTGGGCTATGCCAAATGTTACAGCATGGTATGCCAACTGCCCAGCAGCAGACAGGGAGGCTCTTCATAGAGTCATTAACACAGCACAAAAAATATGATCAGACTCCCCCTGCCCTCACTGTAGGACACCTTCAGATCTCGCTGTCTCCGCAGACCCAGCTGCATCGAGAAGGATTTAACTCACCCTACAACAACCTCTTTTTCTCTGCTGTTGCTGAAGGACGCTTCAGGGCCCTTAAGATCCGAGCATCAAGGTTTACAAACACCTTCTACCCAAGAGCCATAACTGAACTTAACACAACAGACACACACACACACACACACACACACACACACACACACACACACACACACACACACACACACACACACACACACACACAGTTAAACAAATATTTCTCCAAAAGCTACCCACCATGTAGTACATTTGGCACAGGGTCTCACTGTATACAGTTGGATGCGAGTACAGTAGCCCTCTGATAGTCTCAGGGGAATTCCTTGTTCTCTGGGTGCGTGGCATGCAGACAGCGTGCTGTTATCAGCTCTGTTGGATCTGATGTAATGTTTGAAGAGCACCCCGGAGAGAAAGCTGATCTCTGTTCTGCTCTCTCATCTCACATCAAAGTGTCCTCAGCGACGCTCGCTGACAG